TGCAATAGTTTCTTACTGACGGCAGCCATCTTGAGTAGAAAAAATGAGCACACATTTGTGCTGAAAATTTTATTAGCAATTTCGACTGGGGAAAATGAGGTAATTTGCCCAAATGTAAGTACTTTATTCATATATTTCAATTAGGAGAATAACTCACAAACGAAAAAGCAAAGCAACATTTTTAGCTGTAGATTTTTCAAGGTACATGTAAAGGATTGATTTGAGCAAAGCAATTAGAAATGAAAATATTGTGTACTATACATATAAGTCCACTATATTTACAGGCAAGACAAAATTAATTAGGGCCTTAGTATTTTGACAAGTGCATGGAAGCGGCCCTGGGGAGGGGGGTTGTGATATTATGGTAACTAAAGAGTGTGCTATTCATCAATAAATCTATTTTAAACCCATTTAATTTTTCGAATTATGAACCTTCAGATAACGATTTCCTATCCATTTAAAGAGGGCATTTTAGTAATTTTTAATTTAATCAAATTTAATGCATAGGTCTTTGTTAAGTGCTCATTACCAATAATTTAATTCACCTGTTAAGAATAAATGTATTTAAATAGTCAGAATGCAAATTGAATACATTATTTGTTGCTAGGTAGGACAAATATTATGGCTTGCCCTACCTAACAACACGTAATGTTCGCATTCTGACTGAGATAATTTGTAACGCGGCACTTAACAAAGATATGTGCATTGAATTTGATTATATAACGAAAATGGCCTAATCACAATATTTTATTTAGGACTAACCCTTTACACTTTTTAAAGGAAAATCCAACCAATTAACTACATGTAATAATTAAATCAATTACCCCCCCCCCACACACACACACACACACGCACACACACACACACACACACACAAGGAATGCAGCGATTGAACAGAAGCGTTTATAAATTGCCCATTCATTGGGTACGAGGTCAACCGAATACTATGCTTATGGAGGTAAAACCATGCATTGCATAAAGTTAACCACTTTGTGAATTCCGACCGTAGTATCTGGTCATTAGAGAAATTATCTTTGTTTTTGTACTTTTTTTACATTATTCAAACATGGGATCAGTGATTCAAGAAATCTGTATACCTGGTTATGGTAATAATTTCCTATATACACACGTCAGGAGAGACAACTGTAGATAAAATAAAATAATTGCTCAGTACATACGCATAATCAGTGGTCGAATGTTAAAATCAGAATTGTTTGTGATTAAAAGTCAAAAGGACGAACCATGATACATATTCCATGACATAAGTTATACTTATCTGGTCATGGAAGGGCCCAAATGGACCTTAAAAACGTTGTAAAAACCTTGTAAAAATGGATATGAAATATGTATTTTTTTAATGATGTGGTACAGTGTAATACGCTTCAATTGTCTGTATCTTGTAGGATAAAGCTGAGTAAATATGCGTAAGACCTTTGCTGTGCTCAGGTGTCATTCATTTAAACGTAACAAAACTTCGGCAGTTTTCTTTTTTTCAGCGACTTTTCGCATCATATCTGAATGAGTCATATTTGAAGGAGTCATAATTTAAGTGTCATCTCTTTTTCCATGCTTTCCTTTCACATATAGATACGACCAACCAACAAGGGTTACATCGATCATCAGCACTTCTTGAAGATGATGGGTAAGGAGTTTGCTCCTGGGGATGATGGAGGTGAGAGTAAGTGCATCGCGGAGGAATCTTCAGGTACTCTTGAGGGCCACCACCAAACCCAACTGGATAAACAGTGAGTGGAACTGAAAGGATAGCATTCAAAATGATGTGATAGTTTACCAATACAATACATGTAGGACTAGTCACCAATTGGAATTATTAGCACATCAATAAAAGACTTGAAACTAAACTAAAACTAAAGAAACTGCATTATGATTGTTACAGAATAAAGAGCATATAGGAATTCATATTCAGAATTGTGTTGAAGTTAACTTGTGCATGCACATAATACATATTTTAGCTGCTTTGATTGGTCTACTCATGTGACACTTTACCTTTATTTAGAGTGTATCTTCTTACACAAGTAATATTTGAAGCCATTATTTTGAATATGCATGATGTATACTGGCATAGAACCGCATACACATTGAGCGAAATTTGTAATATGCATATATTCCATGAGTAGCTACAGAGTATCAGATAAAATAGAGTTAATCTGTTTGCATACCACATTGGAGTTACAAGTATGTTGGGAAGTGCTTCATCGATTCCTTAAGGATCAACATCACCATCCACCAGGCGTCCAAGGGAGCCTTCATCTCGGTGGACAAGCTCCTGCAGGATCTCAAGGACCGGATGAGAGACAAGTACGGCACCTTCCAGGGAGCCTTCGCTCAGCTGGACAAGAGCAAGAGCGGCCGCATCACCATCGCAGAGCTTCTGTGGCTGTGATAATGGTGATGATGATGGTGATGATGGTGGTTTTGATGATGGTGATGGTGATGATGGTGGTTTTGATGATGGTGGTGGTGATGATGGTGGTGGTGGTTTTGATGATGGTGGTGGTGATGATGGTGGTGGCGATGATGATGTTGGTGTCGGTGGTGTTAGTGGTTGTGATGATGGCGGTGGTGGTTGTGATGATGATGGTGGTGGTGCATGGTGGTGATGATGATGGTGATGGTGATGATGGTGAAGATGGTGGTGGTGATGATGATGGTGATGATGGTGGTGGTGATGGTGGTGATGATGGTGATGGTGGTGATGTTGCTGATAAAGATAGTACTGGTGATGGTATTGATGATTAGGTTGCTGATGATGTAGGTGATGTAATCGATTGAGATGAAGAAGATTTTAAATATAAAAACAAAAATAATAAAGCGTATGATTTAAATGAGAATTATGAGATCCAGGATTGTAATTTAAGTAGTGATCATTATAAAGGCCCTGATATCTTAGCAGAACAATACAAAAAATCCCAATGCATGTCTTGTTTTGATGAGAGATTGATATATACATCAACAATTAAAATCGTGATTGCAATTTGAATTTCTATCCAGATAAGTAAACAATAAAGACACAATGAGCATAATGCAATGTACGTCAAATTCCTCATCAAAACCCACATCTAAAACATTACCCTACAACCAAATTCTATCTAAGGATTGGACTACCAACAAGCAAGAGCACCCTGAACTATGAAGATTTCCTGAAGGCCTTCGACGAGGGACGGGAGGAGAGGTACCAGAAGAAGAATCTGCCGGAGGTTCGTCCAGAGATTGTTCTCCACTCTCACCACAGACAAAGCCCTGCATAAAATGAGGAAACAAGTGCAACATAACATTACCACGATAAGTTCTTATTTCCTGTTTACCATTATTATTATTAAGTATTTATGCCTTGGAGGGGGATAGCGAAGTCAATGATTAGGACCCTCAGATCTTTCCTCTTGGTATCTGATTTTGGATGTTCAGGTGGACCACTGCACTAGTTCAGTTTGGTTCAAAGTCATATTCCATGCTTATGAAAATTATCAATGATGTAATAAGAATAATAGAAATACTAGGCATTTGTATGGCACCATCTTTATTTTCTGTTAGCAAAGCCTTGATTTGGAGAAATGGCACTCATGACACTTATTCTTAAATTTTCCTTGTGGACTGCAGAATAGTTTTAGAAAGATGTTCTCTCTAAAACTCTTCTGCGGTCTATTCTGAGGTCCACAAGGAAAATTCAAGGTGAAAAAATGGTGCCATGAGTGCCATATCCTCATATCAAGGCGTTGCTAACAACAAAAATTATAATGTGTATAACATATATGTTCATATCTTTAAAAAGAGGTTTACCTACATGTTAAAATACATAATCTATAATTGTGATTGTATACTAACTCAGAAAGGGTAATAGTTTTTCATTAGAGTCTTGACAATGCATAGCAGAATGACACATTCTGAAATGATATTTTCATGTGTTTGAAATTGGACGTAAATGAGGTTCATATTGTATTCAAATATGATAAAATTGCAAATTGGTCACATAAGTGACTTTGATCCTAGCCCACCACTTTTTGTACGGCTGTCTTGTTATGTACTAAATTTAATGAGTGAAACCATCATTTGAAATGCCATGCTTCATTGGTAGATTGGGCATAAGATGTATTCTTTCCAGGCATATAACTTCATGATAGATTTAACTGTGTCCGTTTCTTGAAGAAAATCCTGAACCTTCTTTAGTTCAAGCACATTATCATAGCTGCCAACCATTTCTATTTCCTGGACTTCAAACGAATGATCCAACCTTAATAGATTCCTGTTGAAAACAACTGTGTACAACTGTACACTATAATCTTAATTTTGCCTCGAGCAGTTCTTCCTTAAGGTTTTGAAAGGATGGCATGTATACCTTAACCAGGGAGACGGATCACTCGAATTCTTGGTTGGCATTTGCTGTCCACAGCATTGGAGGGCTGAATATACAGTCTAGTACAGAAAGATCTCAGCTAGCTTCAATGCTCATTCTTTTTAACCCTCAGGCCTTTGGCGCGTTTGAGAAGGACAAGCTCGGCCGTCTGAGCCCCGGTGATTTCCGTCGAGTCCTCGATCACTTCTACTTCAAGATGACGGACAAACAGTTCAAGTCACTGATGACCAAACTATGGGTAAACTCTGACCTGACCATCAGTTACCCAGCATTCCTGGATGAGTTCTCAGCCAACGAACAAGAGGTGATTAATCAACCAACATGTGATTTTTTTTTCTACAAGTTTATGTTGACTAGGATTGAAGGTTTTAGCTTTTCGTCACAGCCAATGGCTGAATTGAGAAAGATTTACAATAATGAAAATATACATTTTTTCCCCCCTCAACCATGCCCACCTTGAGTAAAAAAGAGGATTTGGGGGAAAAACGGCATCTAACAACATCACCCCCCCCCCCCCTTTGAGTAAGAAAATTGGGGGGAAATAGGAAAGAATAGAGAAAATAAGGGGAAAATCAGGAAAATCGGGATAAAATTGGGAAGAAAATGAGAAGAAAAAAATTGAGGAAACTGATTTAAATCAGGTAATTATCAGGCCTGTATAACTTAAAACATAAAAATTATTCTGCATGAGAAAATAAGCAATTGGTACACTTTTAAAGTAATGATTATGAATCGCATCTTCTTTCCAGCTTGCTAGGAACTGGATCGAATCAGTTCAGAAGAGTGACGCCCAGAACAACAACCACTCCTCACCCACCATTGATGAAATCAAGCAGGAGCTCTGACAACTTGTCAAGGCACGCTTCTACCGCTTTGCAAAACGTTTCTCCAAGATCGACTACGCAAACATCGGTGTGGTAGCTCGGGATGACTTCAATGTAGTCCTCAATGAACTTGTTTTCAGATTGAGCTTAGATCAGGTAGGGACTTAAAACAAATCGTTGATTGCAGATATATTTATCTAGGTCATGCTTACCGAAGAAACCTTGTGCAACCATGAGAATATGGACATTACATGTATGCACATTGATCCGTACTGCTTAGGAAACAAGTACAGTCAAAGCTGCTTTAGCCACCACCTGTGTAAAAAGACCATATATCCAGATTCACTTGAACAGCGTTTCTCATTGAAATCATTCTTTTAAACATATAAGAGGTTTCTTGTTACGTTCCATCATTCTTATATTTGAAATTATGAAAAATTCGACATAAATTAAAAGATGAAATAGCAAATAATTTAGGAGTACCATGGATACCAATTCAACAGAATTTTTTATTAAAAAAAGAGCCCCCTTCAGTACTAAAAGAGCCCCCGTGAGAAGGCTCACAGGCGCTCTTTTTTGGGAGGGAAGAGCCCCTGTGGACAAAAAAATTAATTTGAGCCCTGTTCATATCCCTTGTAAATTTGATGTAGTTTGTGCTTTTCGTAACTAAAGAATGAAATGTGGATTTGTTGAATAAGAGCCTTTGTCGAATACCTTTAGATGTGTGCTTTAATATGTCACATTCTCGAGAAACATAAATGAGGACAAATCCAATATGATTGTAATTAGAAGTTAGGAATTTTGTTTGTTTAGGAAGTTGATGTCCGAGTATATCTCACAATCTATCTCTACTATAAAAACTCACCTTCTCTTGTGATGATGACAGAGAAGGTCGAAAGTTGTCATGGCTGAATAAAGCCTCTGAAAAGCACCACAGCCAGCAAACCAGGTTGTCGAGGTCTCATGGGGATAGTTTTCCGGAACCGGGCGTGGCTCTGTTATTCAAACTTAATTGTCAGATGTAAAAGAACTATTGAAAGCATTTACCGTGGGTTGTCAAGGATCCGACGACATTTACAAATCATGTGCATATGTTTTTTTTTTGACAGAATTATTATGATATAGAATCAAAGGAATTTCTTGTCTCCACCGCAGCGAGAACGTGAATCTGATCGGTGATTGCTAGCCATGAGCAGTGATGCAGTGGCACTTCACGTTCAGGATTGCCTATTCTCCCGCAAATAGTTTAATTTAAAAAAAGAAAGTGAGTACATGTATCATGTGTGGATACAAAAATATCTGAACCCATAACCAAAAACTCTAAAGGTAGAAAATAAAATGCAATTGGAAAAGTACAGCATCAAAGTAAATGTACACTGTAAAAGTAATCCTTTCATTCGCAGAAAACATTATCTTATGGCAACACCATGGAGGATAACAGTCATGACTGTATGGTCTGGAGTTATGTGATGTCCAAGGAGACTCCAGACCTGGTGGGTGCCATTAATAAAGAGGGCAGGCATCTCTGGAACATATCCACTCAGTCAGGTTGCAGAACTGTTTCTACATATGATATACATGTACAATGTACTTGCTGTTGTAGATCTATATTTAACAGAGGAGTTGAGGAAAGAAGAAAAGAGGTATCTCTGAAAGAATTCTACATGTGATCACTCAGTCAGTTTGCAGAACTGTTTCTCCATATAGTTTACATGCATTTCTAGATTTAGAAAGGAATTGACGAAAGAAGAAAATAGACATCTCTGGAACAATTCTACATGTGATCACTCAGTCAGTTTGCAGAACTGTTTCTCCATACAGTTTACATGCAGTTCTAGATTTAGAAAGGAATTGAGGAAAGAAGAAAATAGGCTTCTCTGGAACAATTCTACATGTGATCAGTTTGCAGAACTGTTTCTGAATATAGTGTACCTGTAGTTTAAGATTTAGAAAGGAGTTGAGGAAAGAAGAAAAGAGTTATCTCTGGAACAATTCTATGTGCGATCACTCAGTCAGTTTGCAGAACTGTTTCTACATTATGGTGTACCTGTAGTTTTAGATTTAGAAAGGAGTTGAGGAAAGAAGAACGAGAAGGAGAGAATGTTTAAACTCACTGTAAGGTCGAGTCCTGGCAGTTTGAGTTATAGGTTCACTCCTCTCATCGCCACTGACGGTTATTATGGCAATGTCATATGTTGTCCCTGGAATCAGATCCGTGACCTCTGCTGCCGGGTCAGTGAAGTCTCCATTGAACACAGCTATGCCATGATCAGGTGTGACTGTGATGGTAAAGTCATCTGCATCTCCTGCATACGCCCATACCAGGTTTAGTTCCCGCTGACCAGGCACGATGCTCAACTCAGATGGAGTTGCAGGAACTGTTTGGAAAAAGAAACACAATGTATATATATATATAAATTATATATGTAACAATGATTTCAAGGTAGAGTATACAGTAAATAATGCAGATACGGAAGGAGGCGAAAACCGGAAAAGCATAGCTTGAGTTGGGAACGCCCATAAAAGGTTAACACAGTTACCGAGAGAACATTTTAGATATTATTATGAAAATTACATATTATACAACAGAACGTTGATAAGAAAGATCCCAAGATCTATTCACAGGTGTATCATCTTCACTCCACAACATATGACCCATCCATCTCAATACACTTCTTTTTACCACTTCAACCGAAGTTCCTTCCAAACCCAACCCTTCCCTGAGCTCATGCACTTGGGTTCTTTCCGTCAGATAGTTTCACACCACACATCTTCCATATTGTGGCTTTTTCAGTTCTTCTCCAGATAACCTCTTCTTCAACACCAATTAAAATAATTGATTTCCTTATCATTATTACTACTATTATTAATTACCTGTTCTCTGATCCACACTCTTCCCCTCGCTAGTCTTTGGCGTCGCGTCTTCAACACCAACCCCACTCACCGACACCACAGTGAAGTTATAGTGCCTCCCCTCTGTTAAATTTGACATCTGAGAAGAATACTCATTAACACCAGTCATGTAATCTACTCTGATTGGTTCCTGACTGTCGGGTTCAAAGGTCAACAGAAAATAGTCGAAGACGCAGCCCGACCACTGCTTGAGATGCCACTGTACATCGACAGTAGTTGTGGTGTATTGGCTGACAGAGATGTTTTCAACCGACTCAGGCACTGCAATTAAAGGATAACAAAAACAAGCGCTTTAGCAGTTAACCGAACAAACCTCGTACAGTACCATTATTACAGGCAGGTGGTCTTTATGTAGGGTTCGTTTTAGTTGGTGGTTGCTAAACAGGTTTCACGCTGAAGCACGCTGGCCATAGCGCGGCGAGGTCGTCGAAAAGTTTGTGCATGTACAAAACTGTTGACGTATGCTAGCGTATGGCTCATACGTCCTGCATACGCAGGCCATAAGTTGTAGGTAAGTTATAAGATCGGTGACACAGGTTCACACACGTTACTTGTAAGTTACTCTTAAGTTGACATACGTTGAGATAATGTCTAGGGTACCCAAAAGTTATTTCTAACCTATGAGTAACATGCTTTGAACCTATTTCGAACTTATCTCCAGCGCATATTGATGTATGTAGACGTATTTGGCATATTCCAGACGACCACAGAACTTACTGAACCCGTTTCCTAACTTACTGCTACCGTATAATGGCATATTGGCAACGTTTAGGGGTATATAAAAGTGGGGTTCACAGGAGTTATCAAAACGTTCTATATAAGTTACTACTCAGGTTATTTATACGTCCATCTCATTATGAATAAGCTATGTAAATGCCCAAAATTGCAGAAAAAAACATTGATAGTTCAGCGTATGCCGTTATAGAGAAATTTTAATACGTCCGCATACGCTGGCTAAATCGTCAAGGTGTGACAGGGCCATATGTACATACGAGATGGGCGACTGCAAACTTCTAATTGATATGATTCAATCTGAACTCTTTATAAGACAGGGTCCTAAAGTACTAGATAATACAAACCTGCAACCAGGTAGATAAGACTCGAAGCTCTGGTGCTGTAAGAGGATGAGCCTGTGCCCACTTCACTGTAAACAGTCATGCCATAGGTCTCCCCTGGTCCTGGCAGGTTCACACAGGCTGCTGAGAACAATTCTTGATCGGTGTCTTCGATGGTGGATGGGAATGCGTCTCCACGGCTACACGCGATCCTGTACCTCTCTACCGTGTCGTTCTGCCTCATCCAGGATGCGTTAACTGATGTCAGGGTCGAAGGTCCTTCCTCGAGGTCCACTCCAAGGGGCACTACATGTATGTGAATAATAAAAATAATAATAATCATTATGATGGAGATAATATAATTAATAATAATAATGATATTAATAATGATAACAATGTATATAATAATCTATATGATAGCTGGAGGTTTTGGGGCCTTTTGATGTCCTTTGGGGGAATGCGTACCCGAGGTGCCGAAGCTGTGCCTGGCAGAGTTCATATTTCGCGAAAGCATGCCATTTGGCTGCAAAATATAATTTTCCATAACAAAGCGCCATTAGAAAATACAACCTGGATGGCTTGCAACCTGCTACGCCCACTGATCGCCTGTATACAAAAAGTCTAATACTGCCCCAAGTGCTCGCAAATACCACCCATCCAGTACCTGTGATTCATGAACAAATATAGCTTTATACCGTATTTCTTCCCCAGAAATCAGTTGGTTCTACAATGGGAGGAACACAAGACTTAAACCTGTAACGATTTAAATGATGATCTTAGACAGTTCTTTGTGCGATTCAGATCTTTCATAACACTAACAGAAGGACACAGAAAAACAAGGAGGTTAAATGTCCGTTAAAACAGAACAGTCTTCATCGAAGAAATCATGATTATAAGCCCATGATCTGAACAGCATTCTGTACACATTCTTTTTCTTTAAAACATTCTCCGGTAAGATCCCATTTAAGATTATCTTGAATTGTTATACCAAGTAATTTCATATGAGATACCACTTCAAGCTGAACACCATTGATCTCCAAATGAGGGACAGGCGGTGTATTGCGCAAGAATGAGATCAGCATTGTTTTGCACTTTGTTAGATTGGCCTCACGTCGTTTATTTCACACCAATCAACAAGATAATCAATGTGTGTTTGTATTAAACTGCGGAGGGTCCGACTTGTTGACCTCTAGAAGACTTAGATCATCAACATATTTCGAGCGGTTTTCTGTAGACAACGCAGCATTATTAACCATTATCAGAAATATAATGGGTCCTAGTTTAGTCCCCTGAGGAACACCACAAGTGACGTGGGAAAGATCTGATGTAACCCGCGATAACGAACAGTTTGCGTTCTTTGTGTCAGGAAACTACAAATAGTCGGGAGAATGGAGCGGTCGACTCCTATGTCAATAATTTTTCTGATTGTTGTGACATTGCTGAAATCGATCATACATAAGTTAACATTATCCAAGAGACTGATTAAGTAATGGCAAAATGATGTTCCGGGCATGTTCCCAAACTGTTGGGGATCAATAGCATAGTGCACATCTTCAATAACGGGCAAGGAATCCCTCAAACACTCGTGCCAATACTGATGTGATAGAACTGCGCCTCAGTTGGTCAGGCGTCGTTGCCGGCGGGGCCTACGGCATGGGACACACCAATGCATTTTTCCAGATATGTGGGAAACATCCATTTTTCAAACAGCAGTTGAAAAGGTGGGTGAGCGATTCAGACAGCTCATACGCAAATTCCTTGATGAGGTGTGTTGGACAGTCGTTCGGGTGACCAGCCTTGGAGACATTGACTTTTCGAAGGCATTCAAAGACCTTTTGTCGCTCGGTGATTGGAGGTGGTGTTGGCGCAGGGAGGAAGTCCGGCAACAAAGCCAGGTCGAGAGATGGAAGTGCCGAGCAATTCCAGCTAATCTCCAAATTTGATTTGTCGGCTGGAAAGCTGAGAGACTACTTCTTTTTAGTCCTGCTAGGTGCCGAATTTGCTGGTGCCATTTCCCAGGTTCACTGTGCTTCAGATGCTCTACTTTCCTGCTATAGAGACTTTTTTCTTGGCAGAGCTGATTTATGGTATATGTTACTAAAACATTTATATTACCCAAATAATATACGCAAGGGCACAGATTCTTACGTTGAAAGTGAGGGATGACTCTCTCTCGAACATTCTCATGATCAACCAAAGGGTCACGTGACTGGACTTGTATTCAATGCGCGTTCTATCAGACATGAAATGCCAAACTTACTCGCCCACTTGGCTACCGATCATGCTGAAATCATTTGCATTTGAAAGTTGGCTGAACGCTGCATGTGAGGATGTTGAACTTGGGTTTCCATCTAACTAATTTTGCAAGGATAGAATGACCAAGACTGGTGGCGGAGTATTGACTGCCATCGACGCTAGCCTTTGCCCTAGGAGATTAGAAAACTTGGAACATCTGGAGTTGATAAGCATCTAGTTTTCTTCTGCGCAAAAGAAAATGTCTTCTATTATCTCTATATCATCCGCCTAACTCCAGTATGCCCAGTACTGGAACTCGCTTCAAGAGCACATTGACAACATTCAGAGGACCTCAATTCATTTTGATGGTATTATCCTTACCGGAGAACTGAATGTTGACCTGTTACAATTATTTATCAAGCGATTCTTCACGTCTTCTTTCTATATTCAGCACTATGGAACTGACTCAGCTTGTTACTACTGTAACCCGTCCTTCCAAGGACGACACTTCGTCTGGTACCCTGATCGACCATGTGTTCACCAATCGTATTGACCTTTTCGTTGAGGCATCTGTCTGACCCAACCCTGTTCCAAGTGACCATCATGGCATTGTATTTAAGATCATGTCACCTAAACCCTTTGCTTCCAAGGCAGTTCTTTGTGAGTTCCTCAACATTCCCAAAGTTGACTTTGACCATATGAATCGCCTGTTGCAGCTAATTGTGCCATGGAACCTTTTCATCGATCCTGAAGACATAAACTCTACATGGGAAGGACTCTTAGACATCTTTGAGGCTGCTTCTAAAGATACTATTCCAAGATGTCGGATGAGGACAAGGAAATATAAGCCATGGATGTCTATAAAAGAGATAAAGCATATGATTTGTAAGAAACGTAAGCTCTTTGTTAGAGCTCAACGGTCCAACTTAGTTGCCGACTGGAGCCTCTTCAAAAAAGCTCGGAACCTTGTGAAATACGAAATCAGGGCTGCTTACTGGCAGTATGTTAATGACTTGTTCCTTTGTTGTGATAATAGAAAGAGGTTTTTTGCCTACATTATAGGGAACATAAGCGCCACTCACCGCCTGCTACTATCGCGAGCGGTAGTCGCATCCTCAACAAACCACAGGACATTGCATCTGAACTTCTTGCAGCTTATCAAACCTCCTTTACTGATCCCCAGGGAGTTCTATGTCAACCTGAGAAGTGTGACTTCCCAATCAACCAGCTACAATGTTTTGAGATCTGCGTAAGTGATGTCTACCGCCAACTACTTTCTCTCCGGGAAAAGAAAGTCTCTGGTCTAGATAGCCCCTCTCCATCCTTGCTGAAACATCCTCCAGCATATCTAATCTGTATCACTAGCTCTTGTTAAAGTCCCAACCATGTGTGAATCTGCCAATGTTACACCTGTGTTTAAATCTGGTGATAAGTAATCTCCGTTTAACTATCTTCCAGTGGCCCTTACTTCAGTCGGGAGTAAAATCAAGGAATCGCTGATAGTTGCTAAAATAGAATCTCATCTTGATTCTTCATGTTCAATCGCTACCTTTCAACACGGTTTTTGTAAGGATTACCATCAAACTCAGGACATGTACATGTATGTATCTTGCAGAGCCAATGAACTTATTAGATTTCAGGGTCATATAAGGTCAAAGGTCATGGGGCTCATTATTTATGCAAAAAATAGCTTGTCAGTGCATTATCATTAAACCGACGGACTGGGGTAATGTAAAGCACTTTGAGAGGGCCTGTGATCCTGAAAAGTGCTAGAACAAACTATTATTAGTTCATTCAGTTCAGTTCATTTTATTCAAAACCACACAAAGAATGATATAATATTATATTGTTAATTAAAGATAAAGACCAGTTATGGTCATGCGATTGCATTGTGAAAGAAACGTTGTGGAATCGATCAGAAAAGGTTGATCATCTAGCATATAAGTATTGGTTTGTACTGCAAGGTTCTGGAATCATCAAAATGATAAGAAAATGGCCTAGTCTTGGAAAAGTTACAAGCACTGTACACAGAAAGATGTATATGGGACTACGCGACACGTGCGCGACACGTGCGCGATATCTATTATGTCCAAATAGATATACTATTTTACCAAACATATCAATTAGTAGGCGGTTCCTCAGCAAAATTTGTATCATTACGTATTAGTCAAAACATATTCTTTCACATGATTGGTAAGAGCTTCCATTTCATTTTTTTAGAAGGGGCGTTTCCAAATCTGGTATTTACCTTTAAGAAGAGCAAGAGATAAAAGTGCAAGTACACTGTAAGATTTTAACGAGGTTCCAATGTCTTATCATCTGCACTGACTGTTCAACTTACGTGCAAAGACTGTGATGGTGCTGACTGCACTCGGCTTGTTGTTGCTAATAGCAACCACCGAGAGGTCGTACTGTTCTCTAGGTTTGGTTAACCCTACGCAGTAAGCCGTCAACTGCTGCCCGCAATGACTACTGTGCACAGGAATAGATGCTGGGGAGGCAGTACCATCGGAGCACGTGATCTTGAAGGTATCCACCACACTGTCAGGGACTGTCCATGTAGCTGAGATGGCTGTAATGTTAGACTCACCCTCGGAAAGTTCAACAGCCTCTGGTACTATTTAAAAAAAAAATCATGCAACCAAAACCCATGACAAGTAGGCCTTCTTTCGTTTATTAAACTGATTTAAAGATATCTATTTATAACATGAAAATACATATCAAATATTTGAGATTTCTGTAAAACTATGTTGATTACCCTATGTTAACCTTTTTAATGCAATTTGCTGTTTTAACTGCCCTATTTTCAATGCTGCATCTCATACTGTTCAGGCCACGTTGTTTTTCCGTAAAATTGAAAAACATATAGGTCTATATAGATTGTGACGATTGTTAGTACAGAACACTACTTTGATCACGAGGAACATTGAAAAAACAGACAATTATAAAAAAAAAAAGAGGCTTACTTGCCGTACATGTTGGTCTACCATGTCATATGGTAGTGTAATAGTTAAAGGGAGATGGTTGTCAGACTCCATGTGCAGTAGTTCATAATTCGCCTACACTTAGTGGTGATACCATGAATAGGTGTACAAGTCTCGCACACAGCAAAATCCCCCAAAAAAGGGTATGATTTTGTATATGAAATCCCTTCAAATGAAATGGCCCCACTTTTAGTTATTGACCTTAATCATGGGTAACTATTAATACCTCACCCATTTCCAATATTCTGACTAAACTGCAAACCCCAGATGCAAAAATCATTGCTTTTTATATGGAACTCCCTAATAATGGATACCGGTACCCTTTTCTGCCTAAAAATGGGTATGGGTTTGAATGTATCAGACAAGGGATTTTCTAACATTTATGGGATAAACTTACATGCAGTGATTGTGATGGTGTCTGTCTCACTGCGTTCATCACTGCTGACTGAAGTAACTGATATAGTATAGTTTCCTCCAGGAGTTAGGCCAGTACAATATGCTATTAGGTATTCTGAGGCGTAGACCTTGTCTGTTGAAGCAACTCCATTGGAACAGGAGACTTCATAGTAATCCACTATACCATAAGGCATGGTCCATGATGCAGTGATGGTGGTAGTATTCACCATATATATCTCCTCATTTAAAGTGACTGCTTCAGGCACTACAAGAAAGAACAACAAATTGTGATTATGTGTGTGTGTGTGTGCTTGTAAAGCACTTTTCACGTTGATGACATTGTAGTCAATTTCATTTTGGGTGTCTTGACAATTGTCCTTGTTAGCTCCTTCCATTCCTAGTTTATCAGAAGTGTAGGCACTCTAAGTCAGCTGAATTGCAGATATCTTTGTTTACAGGTATTCAGGTTCTTACCAAGAACTGTTGGTACAGAGAATCATGTAGAAAAAAATGTGTGTCCTGCAGAAAACGGTATACCGCTGGTATTTTCTCCTGCTCTTTTTACAACTTTATGAACATCCTGTTTCACAGTCATTTCAACATTTAAAGGAAAGCTCACCCAAAAGAATAAGGGTAGGTATTCTCAAAAATGAAATGTATTCCTCCCCTTTAAATTGATATTTCTTTCTACAAAGGTGTTTAAGTGATATATAAATGAAGATATTCCTTGCATGATGTAATGCTGCCTTTTGGCATAACATGGGCACAGCCATTTTATTGATAATGTGACGTACCAGGTGAACTTGTACATGTATCATACACAAAGCTTTAGTTGGAAAGTTTTTTCAATTCAATAACAAAACCTATACTTTTCAATGGAGGAAAATCATAGATGAAAAGGTAACAATTATATTTAATGAAAATATATAGCAGAGTTAAAAGAACACTCATCTCTTTAAATAAACTAAAACATAGTAGTTGAAAATGTTATTTCATCTATGCGAAACCTTCAACACAAAAGCACAACTTATGTATGTCATTTGCGTTCTGGAAATTGCAATACAAAGGATAAAACAAGTGAATGGAATACATCCCCACCACACACACCTCGAAAGGAAGCATTATTCTTGCTTTATACCTCTTTTATATTCTTTGGTGGACAATCATGTAGATTAATGGGCAAGAATATAATAAACTTCTTAGAACAATAATCAAGCTATTACTTTAAGAGTTAGGTGTTCTTTAGGGTAAACATACAATAACAAAAATAAAGGGAAAGAGAAAGTCGGGTTTATATTAAATTTGTTCATTACTATATTACTCAAGAGTCATAGATTTATGAAAGAGATAATTGAAATATGAAGAGAAAAATTGATATTGAACCAAACTTTCCACATACAACTATTTTACTATGACCTTTTTTTTTTTTAATTCCAGCAACTAATACATGTAGCAATAAATTTTCAGGATGTCACTCAAAATTCTGTGGAAGACCATCACAAAACCTCATTTGGAAGAAGAAACAAAAATAAGACACAAGAGCATCTGGTCTCACTCAGGTGGATGCTGAATTAAGACTGGATTGCTAGGAGGGAGGCCATAATAACGTCTAACCCCCAGCATAGGAAAGATAGACACCAAACAATGACACTGATACTGACTAATTAATAAACATGAAAGATCAACTTACCTGCAACAATGTACACGACTATGGCTGGACTCTCTCCATTGTTTTCCCGAGTGATAACACTAATTGAGTGATTGCCCCCTGGTGTGACCCAAATACAAGTCACCTCAGTAGCTGAACCAGGAAGATAATAGTCAGGAGATGGGAAGCCCTCAGAGCAGTCCACTCTAAACCAATCGGCTCCAGTTATTACATTCCAGGTGACAGTAACTGACGTTGTGTTTGATGAACTGTCCTCAAAGGTTACTACGTCTGGAGCTAAATGTAAATAGTTATACAAAAATATAACCAAGATTTTAGTTGGTTTCATCCCAAAAGCCAGAATAGAAACCCAAATATCTAAGAGTCCCATTCATTCTATACAATATGGAGCCAAACAAAGCCTGAAACAGAGAGAGGTGAAAGCTAGTGACTAAATAAAGTAAGGCATGAGCCTGAAAACTGAAATCTAGCTTGCCCCTACATCTACGTTTCAATGTTATACAGAAGACTACTGGATTATTTCATTGTTATTGCTACTCCTCTTCATTTTACTCTCACTTCAGGTCTTAACCACAAAAGAAAAGCCCAATTTCTACTGGGTGGTTTGCTAAAGGACCCCCCCCCCCCTACCTAAACAAATAAAATTTTAAAAAATAAAAATTTGGTCTCGACTACAACTAGATTAAAATAAGCAATAGAATAGATATATTTTTTTTTGTAATGATTTGAAAAATGTAAATTGGTTATACCAAGGGTACCAGATTGTCATATGAATAATATGATTGAAATTGAAGGGACCAGTAAACCTTCTTGAGGCTGGAAGTCTGAAACAGCTTTCAATCCTAGTAATGGGAATTCAGTCGCATAACTGGTTACCGATTGATATCCAATTTGGTTTTCTTGGACTACAACAGCAACTTAGATATTTCTTAAACTCGAAGGCTAATTAACATCAGGCAACCCAATATGAAAATACTTTTGACTACTCTGGACCTCAGAAGATGAGCGTTCATTTTACAAAAAGTATTTTCAACTCTGTATTTATTTCAACATTAGGGCAAGTCCAAGCTACATTAATATGTATTGAATTCAGGGAGAGAGAACATATACTTTTATCCACATGAATTTAGTTTTTCATGACCAAAAGTATTTATTGTACAGAAGTGTAATTACTTACTTGCTGCTGTAAAGGTCTTAGTGACTGGGCTCTCTTTATCCCCACTCACGCTGGTCACAGTAATGTCATAGGGAGCTCCAGCCATCGATACGTTACAAGTTGCTTCAAAAGTGTTGTCGGTCCCTTGATCATGGTTGAGAATGAATTCAGTGCTCCAATCAGCACCACAGTCTACGATGAAGTAATCTTCTTCTCCCTCTGGATCATCCCACTGTACAGTTATCTGTCTCGTTGTGATTTCACTAGATCTCAGAACTGCACTTTTTGGATCTACAAGAACATCACAAATAAAATATATACAGTCAATGGAATCACATTATCATGATCACTATCAAGTATATGGTATTATCAAGTATATGGTGTCACCAGTGAGAGGAAAGGTGAACTGGATCAGTGTGACTCTTGGGTCTCTCCTCCCGGTATAACTGATCAGGACATACACGTGTCCAACCTCACCTCCGTTTCCCCCTACCCTATTCAAATAGTGCAGTGGGTTCTTAACATGCATTTGTGATGATTCTCCTACACACCAGACCTCAAATTTACATTTAATCCGAGAGATGGTGTCTTTTCTACTGTAGCCTAGCCTGGAACTATGGAACAGAGTCGGGTATGCCATCCATAGCTGTTGGAATTATAAATCAGATCATGGTTTGTTTTTACAGAAAAACATACCTGGAAATAAACCGTTAGACTGGGAAAGTAACCGAAAGTAATAGTATTTTGAAACTTGAAACTTACATGAAGTGATTTTGATGGTGTCTGTCTCACTGCGTATGTCACTGCTGACTGAAGTAACTGATATAGTATAGTTTCCTCCAGGATTTAGGCCAGTGCAAGATGCTATTAGGTATTCTGAGGCGTAGACCTTGTCTGTTGAAGCAACTCCATTGGAACAGGAAACTTCATAGTAATCCACTATACCATTGGGCATGGTCCATGATGCAGTGATGGAAGTAGTATTCACCATATATATCTCCTCATTTAAAGTGACTGCTGCAGGCACTACAAGAAAGAACAACAAATTGTGATTATGTGTGTGTGTGTGTGCTTGTAAAACACTTTTCACGTGGATGACATTGTAGTCAATTTCCCTTTGGTCGTCTTGACAATTGTCCTTGTTAGCTCCTTCCATTCCTAGTTTATCAGAAGGGTTTGAGCTCTAAGTCAGCTGAGTTGCAGATATCTTTGCTTACAGGTATTCAGGTTCTTACAAAGAACTGTTGGTACAGAGAATCATGTAGAAGAAGTTGTGTGTCCTGCAGAAAACAGTATATCGCTGGTATTTTCTCCTGTTCTGTTTACAACTTTATGAACATCCTGTGTCACAGTCATTTCAATATTTAAAGGAAAACTCACCCAACATTATGAGGGTATTCTAAAAAAGGAAATGTATTCCTGCCCTGTGGAACGATATTCCTTCATACGAAAATGTTTAAGTGATGCATGAATGAAGATATTCCTTGCATGATGTAATGCTGCCTTTTGGCATAACATGGGCAAAGCCATTTTATTGATAATGTGACGTACAAGGCTAACTTGTAAATGTATCATACACAAAACTTTAGTTGGAAAGTTTTTTCAATTCAATAACAAAACCTATACTTTTCAATGAGGGAACATCATAGATGAAAAGGTAACAATTATATTTAATGAAGATATATAACAGAGTTAAAAGAACACTCATCTCTTTAAATAAACTAAAACATAGTAGTTGAAAATTTTATTTCATCTATGCGAAACCTTCAACACAAAAGCACAACAACTTATGTATGTCATTTGCGTTCTGGTAATTGCAATACAAAGGATAAAACAAGTGAATGAAATACATCCCCACCACACACACCTGGGAAGGAAGAATCTATTACTTTGAATACCTTTAGATCAGGCCTTCTCAACTAGTTTATTAGAAGTGCCAAAACTAAAAAGAATTTGTAGTTGAAGTGCCACTCTGTATGGTTGACTGTGCTGCGAGGGAGCGTAGCGATTGAGCCGAAAATTGGTGGGGTCCAGGGGCGAAGCCCTAATGGGGGTAGCAAGGGGCAAAGCCCCTGAAGCTGGTGGATTTAGGGCTTTCTAAAGGCCCAAATGGGGCATTTTTAGCACCATGTCATTCCACAATAAAATCAATCATAATTTCATATTGATTTGAATAAATAAGTACAATTCCTGGGTACAAATACACTGGAGGTATATTTATATGTAGTTTTTTGTGTGCAATAAACGCGGGAAATGTCAAAATAAAGTGAAAATCAAACAAACAAAAACAAGGTGTTTCCAGAGATTGGCAATGTTAAAATTGGTATCCCATCGTAAGCTAATTGTTGTTCAGACCTCAGGTTCAGATTCATATAAAATGGTAAAAACGATAAATTCCCCTTTCTTCCTGTTTGTTAAGCAGGCATTTTGGGCTTAAATTCGACTGCAACTTCTTGATTAAGCTCAGTATTTAATTCTAAAATATATATTTTCTTTCTTTCTTTTTTTTGTTTTGTTGTTGCAATAGTCGCGCGCCACTCAGACTAACCACAGCGCCGCCAGCTGAGAAGGCCTGCTTTAGATGATAAATGACTTCGCATAGTACGTCACGTTATCAAGAAAATGGCAATATCCATGTCTTGCTGAGAAACTCTACATTATTCTTGCTTTATACCTCTTTTATAAACTTTGGTGGACAAGCGTGTAGATCAATGGGCAAGAATATAATAAACTTCTTAGAACAATTATCAAGCTATTACTTAAGAGTTAGGTGTTCTTTAGGGTAAACATACAAATAATACATATAAATGTACCAAATAAAAAAAAAAAAAGGAAAGAGAGAGTCAGGATTATATTTTGTTATATTAAGTTTATTCATTACTATATTACTCGAGAATCATAGATTTCTAAAAGAGATAATTGAAATATGAAGAGAAAAATTGATATTGAACCAAACTTTCCACATACAACTATTTTACTATCACCTTTAAAAAATAAAATTGCAGCAACTAATACATGTAGCAATAAATGTTCAGGATGTCACTCAAAATTCTGTGGAAGACCATCACAAAACCTCATGTGAAAGGAGAAACAAAAATAAGACACAAGAGCATCTGGTCTCACTCAGGTGGATGGTGAATTATGACCAGTATGCTAGGAGAGAGGCTATAAGGGGGTAGGAAAGATGGACACTAAACAACGGCACTGATACCGACTAATTAGTGAACATACAAGATCAACTTACCTGCAACAATGTACACGACCATGGCTGGACTCTCTCCATTGTTTTCCAGGGTGACAACACTAATTGAGTGATTGCGCCCTGGTGTGACCCAAATACAAGTCACCTCAGTGGCTGAACCAGGAAGATAATAGTCAGGGGATGGGTAGCCCTCAGAGCAGTCCACTCTAAACCAATCAGCTCCAGTTAATACATTCCAGGTGACAGTAACTGACGTTGTGTTTGATGAACTGTCCTCAAAGGTTACTACGTCTGGAGCTACATGTAAATAGTGATACAAAAATACAACCATGATTTCAGTTGGTTTTATCCCAAAAGCCTGAATAAAAACCCAAACATCTAAGAGTCCCATTCATTCTATACAATATGGAGCAAAACAAAGCCTGAAACAGAGAGAGGTGAAAGCTACGGACTAAATAAAGTCAGGCATGACCCTGAAAACTGGAATCCTTGCCTCTACATCTACGTTTCAATGTTACACAGAAGACGACTGGATTATTTCATTGTAATTGCTACTCTTCTTCATTTTACTCTCACTTCAGGTCTTAACAAAAAAAGGACCTCTCCCCCCTCCTCCCTAAAAAAAAAAAAAAAAAAAAAAAAAAAAAACTTTTGGTCTTGACTAAAACTAGATTATAATAAACAATATAATAGATATGCTTTTTAAAAAATGATTTAAAAATGTATTGTACAGAAGTGTAATTACTTACTTGCTGCTGTAAAGGTCTGAGTGACAGGGCTCTCTTTATCCCCACTCACGCTGGTCACAGTAATGTCATAGAAAGCTCCAGCTATCGATACATTACAAGTTGCTTCAAAAGTGTTGTCTGTCCCATGATCATGGTTGAGAATGAATTCAGTGCTCCAATGAGCACCACAGTCTACAATGAAGTAATCTTCTTCTCCCTCCGGATCATCCCACTGTACAGTTATCTGTCTCGTTGTGATTTCACTAGATCTCAGAACTGCACTGTTTGGATCTACAAGAACATCACAAATAAAATATAAAGTCAATGGAATCACATTATCATGATTATTATCAAGTAATTGGTGTCACCAGTGAGAGGAAAGGTGAACTGGATCAGTGTGGCCTTCGAGTCTCTCCTCCCGGTATAACTGATCGGGACATACAAGTGTACAACCTCACCTCCGTGTCCCCCTACCCTATTCAAATAGGGCAGTGGGTTCTTAACATATATTTGTGATGATTCTCCTACACACCAGACCTCAAATTAACATTTAATCCGAGGGATGGTGTCTTCTCTACTGTAGCCTAGCCTGGAACTATGGAACAGAGTCGGGTATGCCATCCGTTGCTGTTGGAATTATAATCAGATTATGGTTTGTTTTTACAGAAAAATGTACCTGGAAATAAACCGTTAGACCAGGAAAGTAACCGTAAGTAATAGTATTTTGAAAATTAAAAAACTTACATGTAGTGATTGTGATGGTGTCTGTCTCACTGCTTATGTCACTGCTGACTGAAGTAACTGATATAGTATAGTTTCCTCCAGGATTTAGGCCAGTGCAAGATGCTATTAGGTATTCTGAGGCGTAGACCTTGTCTGTTGAAGCAACTCCATTGGAACAGGAGACTTCATAGTAATCCACTATACTATAGGGCATGCTCCATGATGCAGTGATGGTGGTAGTATTCACCATGTATATCTCCTCATTTAAAGTGACTGCTGCAGGCACTACAAGAAAGAACAACAAATTGTGATTATGTGTGTGTGTGTGTGTGCTTGTAAAGCCCTTTTCACATGGATGACATTGTAGTCAATTTCCCTTTGGTCGTCTTGACAATTGTCCTTGTTAGCTCCTTCCATTCCTAGTTTATCAGAAGGGTTTGAGCTCTAAGTCAGCTGAGTTGCAGATATCTTTGCTTACAGGTATTCAGGTTCTTACAAAGAACTGTTGGTACAGAGAATCATGTAGAAGAAGTTGTGTGTCCTGCAGAAAACAGTATATCGCTGGTATTTTCTCCTGTTCTGTTTACAACTTTATGAACATCCTGTGTCACAGTCATTCCAATATTTAAAGGAAAACTCACCCAACATTATGAGGGTATTCTAAAAAAGGAAATGAATTCCTGCCCTGTGGAATGATATTCCTTCATACGAAAATGTTTAAGTGATGCATGAATGAAGATATTCCTTGCATGATGTAATGCTGCCTTTTGGCATAACATGGGCGAAGCCATTTTATTGATAATGTGACGTACAAGGCTAACTTGTAAATGTATCATACACAAAACTTTAGTTGGAAAGTTTTTTCAATTCAATAACAAAACCTATACTTTTCAATGAGGGAACATCATAGATGAAAAGGTAACAATTATATTTAATGAAAATATATAACAGAGTTAAAAGAACACTCATCTCTTTAAATAAACTAAAACATAGTAGTTGAAAATTTTATTTCATCCATGCGAAACCTTCAACACAAAAGCACAACAACTTATGTATGTCATTTGCGTTCTGGTAATTGCAATACAAAGGATAAAACAAGTGAATGAAATACATCCCCACCACACACACCTGGGAAGGAAGAATCTATTACTTTGAATACCTTTAGATCAGGCCTTCTCAACTAGTTTATTAGAAGTGCCAAAACTAAAAAGAATTTGTAGTTGAAGTGCCACTGTGTATGGTTGACTGTGCTGCGAGGGAGCGTAGCGATTGAGCCGAAAATGGGTGGGGTCCAGGGGCGAAGCCCTAATGGGGGTAGCAAGGGGCAAAGCCCCTGAAGCTGGTGGATTTGGGGCTTTCTAAAGGCGCAAATGGGGCATTTTTAGCACCATTTCATTCCACAATAAAATCAATCATAATTTCATATTGATTTGAATAAATAAGTACAATTCCTGGGTACAAATACACTGGAGGTATATTTATATGTAGTTTTTTGTGTGCAATAAACGCGGGAAATGTCAAAATAAAGTGAAAATCAAACAAACAAAAACAAGGTGTTTCCAGAGATTGGCAATGTTAAAATTGGTATCCCATCGTAAGCTAATTGTTGTTCAGACCTCAGGTTCAGATTCATATAAAATGGTAAAAACGATAAATTCCCCTTTCTTCCTGTTTGTTAAGCAGGCATTTTGGGCTTAAATTCGACTGCAACTTCTTGATTAAGCTAGGTATTTAATTCTAAAATATATATTTTCTTTCTTTTTTTTTTTTTTTTGTTGTTGCAACAGTCGCGCGCCACTCCGACTAACCACAGCGCCACAAGTGGCGCGCGCCGCCAGCTGAGAAGGCCTGCTTTAGATGATAAATGACTTCGCATAGTACGTCACGTTATCAAGAAAATGGCAATATCCATGTCTTGCTGAGAAACTCTACATTATTCTTGCTTTATACCTCTTTTATAAACTTTGGTGGACAAGCGTGTAGATCAATGGGCAAGAATATAATAAACTTCTTAGAACAATTATCAAGCTATTACTTAAAAGTTAGGTGTTCTTTAGGGTAAACATACAAATAATACATATAAATGTACCAAATAAAAAAATAAAAGGAAAGAGAGAGTCGGGATTATATTTTGTTATATTAAGTTTGTTCATTACTATATTACTCAAGAATCATAGATTTCTAAAAGAGATAATTGAAATATGAAGAGAAAAATTGATATTGAACCAAACTTTCCACATACAACTATTTTACTATCACCTTTAAAAAATAAAATTGCAGCAACTAGTACATGTAGCAATAAATGTTCAGGATGTCACTCAAAATTCTGTGGAAGACCATCACAAAACCTCATGTGAAAGGAGAAACAAGAATAAGACACAAGAGCATCTGGTCTCACTCAGGTGGATGGTGAATTAAGACCAGTATGCTAGGAGAGAGGCTATAAGGGGGTAGGAAAGATGGACACTAAACAATGACACTGATACTTGAACTTGAACTTGAACTTGAACTGATACCGACTAATTAGTGAACATACAAGATCAACTTACCTGCAACAATGTACACGACCATAGCTGGACTCTCTCCATTGTTTTCCAGGGTGACAACACTAATTGAGTGATTGCGCCCTGGTGTGACCCAAATACAAGTCCCCTCAGTAGCTGAACCAGGAAGATAATAGTCAGGGGATGGGACACCCTCAGAGCAATCCACTCTAAACCCATCAGCTCCAGTTAATACATTCCAGGTGACAGTAACTGACGTTGTGTTTGATGAACTGTCCTCAAAGGTTACTACGTCTGGAGCTAAATGTAAATAGTGATACAAAAATACAATCATGATTTCAGTTGGTTTTATCCCAAAAGCCTGAATAGAAACCCAAACATCTAAGAGTCCCATTCATTCTATACAATATGGAGCAAAACAGATCCTGAAACAGAGAGAGGTGAAAGCTAGGGACTAAATAAAGTCAGACATGAGCCTGAAAACTGGAATCCTTGCCTCTACATCTACAATTCTATGTTACACAGAAGACGACAAGATTATTTCATTGCTACTCCTCTTCATGTATTTATTTCAACATTAGGGCAAGTCCAAGCTACATTAATATGTATTGAATTCAAGAGAGAGAGAACATATACTTTTATCCACATGAATTTAGTTTTTCATGACCAAAAGTATTTATTGTACAGAAGTGTAATTACTTACTTGCTGCTGTAAAGGTCCCGGTGACAGGGCTCTCTTTATCCCCACTCACGCTGGTCACAGTAATGTCATAGGGAGCTCCAGCCATCGATACGTTACAAGTTGCTTCAAAAGTGTTGTCGGTCCCTTGATCATGGTTGAGAATGAATTCAGTGCTCCAATCAGCACCACAGTCTACGATGAAGTAATCTTCTTCTCCCTCCGGATCATCCCACTGTACAGTTATCTGTCTCGTTGTGATTTCACTAGATCTCAGAACTGCACTTTTTGGATCTACAAGAACATCACAAATAAAATATATACAGTCAATGGAATCACATTATCATGATCACTATCAAGTATATGGTATTATCAAGTATATGGTGTCACCAGTGAGAGGAAAGGTGAACTGGATCAGTGTGACTCTTGGGTCTCTCCTCCCGGTATAACTGATCAGGACATACACGTGTCCAACCTCACCTCCGTTTCCCCCTACTCTTAATCAAATATTGCAGTGGGTTCTAAACATGCATTTGTGATGATTCTCCTACACACCAGACCTCCATTTAACATCCTATCCACGGGATGGGATCTTTTCCACTGTAGCCTAGCCAGCGACTATGAAACAGAGGCACACGTTTCGGTCATCTGCCTGGGCTAGATTTGAACCAATGGTTTTTCGTACTGAACCTTAAACCTGAAATACTAACATCAACAGATGCCGTTCTTCAATCAGTGAGCGTACCCAGGAAAATCCATCACTAGAGTTGGGTATGCTATCCGTTGCTGTTGGAATTATAAATCAGATCATGGTTTGTTTTTACAGAAAAACGTACCTGGAAATAAACCGTTAGACCGGGAAAGTAACCGTAAGCTATGAACAGTATTTTGAAACTTGAAACTTACATGTAGTGATTGTGATGGTGTCTGTCTCACTGCGTATGTCACTGCTGACTGAAGTAACTGATATAGTATAGTTTCCTCCAGGATTTAGGCCAGTGCAAGATGCTATTAGGTATTCTGAGGCGTAGACCTTGTCTGTTGAAGCAACTCCATTGGAACAGGAGACTTCATAGTAATCCACTATACCATTGGGCATGGTCCATGATGCAGTGATGGAAGTAGTATTCACCATATATATCTCCTCATATAAAGTGACTGCTGCAGGCACTACAAGAAAGAACAACAAATTGTGATTATGTGTGTGTGTGTGTGTGTGTGTGTGTGTGCTTGTAAGGCACTTTTCACGTTGATGACATTGTAGTCAATTTCACTTTGGTCGTCTTGACAATTGTCCTTGTTAGCTCCTTCCATTCCTAGTTTATCAGAAGGGTTTGAGCTCTAAGTCAGCTGAGTTGCAGATATCTTTGCTTACAGGTATTCAGGTTCTTACAAAGAACTGTTGGTACAGAGAATCATGTAGAAGAATTTGTGTGTCCTGCAGAAAACGGTATATCACTGGTATTTTCTCCTGTTCTGTTTACAACTTTATGAACATCCTGTGTCACAGTCATTTCAAAATTTAAAGGAAAACTCACCCAACATTATGAGGGTATTCTAAAAAAGGAAATGTATTCCTGCCCTGTGGAATGATATTCCTTCATACGGAAATGTTTAAGTGATGCATGAATGAAGATATTCCTTGCATGATGTAATTCTGCCTTTTGGCATAACATGGGCGAAGCCATTTTATTGATAATGTGACGTACAAGGCTAACTTGTAAATGTATCATACACAAAACTTTAGTTGGAAAGTTTTTTCAATTCAATAACAAAACCTATACTTTTCAATGAGGGAACATCATAGATGAAAAGGTAACAATTATATTTAATGAAAATATATAACAGAGTTAAAAGAACACTCATCTCTTTAAATAAACTAAAACATAGTAGTTGAAAATTTTATTTCATCTATGCGAAACCTTCGACACAAAAGCACAACAACTTATGTATGTCATTTGCGTTCTGGTAATTGCAATACAAAGGATAAAACAAGTGAATGAAATACATCCCCACCACACACACCTGGGAAGGAAGAATCTATTACTTTGAATACCTTTAGATCAGGCCTTCTCAACTAGTTTATTAGAAGTGCCAAAACTAAAAAGAATTCGTAGTTGAAGTGCCACTCTGTATGGTTGACTGTGCTGCGAGAGAGCGTAGCGACCGAGCCGAAAATGGGAGGGGTCCAGGGGCGAAGCCCTAATGGGGGTAGCAAGGTGCAAAGCCCCTGAAGCTGGTGGATTTAGGGCTTTCTAAAGGCCCAAATGGGGCATTTTTAGCACCATTTCATTCCACAATAAAATCAATCATAATTTCATATTGATTTGAATAAATAAGTACAATTCCTGGGTACAATTACACTGGAGGTATATTTATATGTAGTTTTTTGTGTGCAATAAACGCGGGAAATGTCAAAATAAAGTGAAAATCAAACAAACAAAAACAAGGTGTTTCCAGAGATTGGCAATGTTAAAATTGGTATCCCATCGTAAGCTAATTGTTGTTCAGACCTCAGGTTCAGATTCATATAAAATGGTAAAAATGATAAATTCCCCTTTCTTCCTGTTTGTTAAGCAGGCATTTTGGGCTTAAATTCGACTGCAACTTCTTGATTAAGCTCAGTATTTAATTCTAAAATATATATTTTCTTTCTTTCTGTTTTTTGTTTTGTTGTTGCAACAGTCGCGCGCCACTCCGACTGACCACAGCGCCACAAGTGGCGCGCACCGCCAGCTGAGAAGGCCTGCTTTAGATGATAAATGACTTCGCATAGTACGTCACGTTATCAAGAAAATGGCAATATCCATGTCTTGCTGAGAAACTCTACATTATTCTTGCTTTATACCTCTTTTATAAACTTTGGTGGACAAGCGTGTAGATCAATGGGCAAGGATATAATAAACTTCTTAGAACAATTATCAAGCTATTACTTAAGAGTTAGGTTTTCTTTAGGGTAAACATACAAATAATACATATAAATGTAGCAAATAAAAAAATAAAAGGAAAGAGAGAGTCAGGATTATATTTTGTTATATTAAGTTTGTTCATTACTATATTACTCGAGAATCATAGATTTCTAAAAGAGATAATTGAAATATGAAGAGAAAAATTGATATTGAACCAAACTTTCCACATACAACTATTTTACTATCACCTTTAAAAAATAAAATTGCAGCAACTAATACATGTAGCAATAAATGTTCAGGATGTCACTCAAAATTCTGTGGAAGACCATCACAAAACCTCATGTGAAAGGAGAAACAAAAATAAGACACAAGAGCATCTGGTCTCACTCAGGTGGATGCTGAATTAAGACCAGTATGCTAGGAGAAAGGCTATAAGGGGGTAGGAAAGATGGACACTAAACAACGGCACTGATACTTGAACTTGAACTTGAACTTGAACTGATACCGACTAATTAGTGAACATACAAGATCAACTTACCTGCAACAATGTACACGACCATAGCTGTACTCTCTCCATTGTTTTCCAGGGTGACAACACTAATTGAGTGATTGCGCCCTGGTGTGACCCAAATACAAGTCCCCTCAGTAGCTGAACCAGGAAGATAATAGTCAGGGGATGGGACACCCTCAGAGCAATCCACTCTAAACCCATCAGCTCCAGTTAATACATTCCAGGTGACAGTAACTGACGTTGTGTTTGATGAACTGTCCTCAAAGGTTACTACGTCTGGAGCTAAATGTAAATAGTGATACAAAAATACAATCATGATTTCAGTTGGTTTTATCCCAAAAGCCTGAATAGAAACCCAAACATCTAAGAGTCCCATTCATTCTATACAATATGGAGCAAAACAGATCCTGAAACAGAGAGAGGTGAAAGCTAGGGACTAAATAAAGTCAGACATGAGCCTGAAAACTGGAATCCTTGCCTCTACATCTACAATTCTATGTTACACAGAAGACGACAAGATTATTTCATTGCTACTCCTCTTCATGTATTTATTTCAACATTAGGGCAAGTCCAAGCTACATTAATATGTATTGAATTCAAGAGAGAGAGAACATATACTTTTATCCACATGAATTTAGTTTTTCATGACCAAAAGTATTTATTGTACAGAAGTGTAATTACTTACTTGCTGCTGTAAAGGTCCCGGTGACAGGGCTCTCTTTATCCCCACTCACGCTGGTCACAGTAATGTCATAGGGAGCTCCAGCCATCGATACGTTACAAGTTGCTTCAAAAGTGTTGTCGGTCCCTTGATCATGGTTGAGAATGAATTCAGTGCTCCAATCAGCACCACAGTCTACGATGAAGTAATCTTCTTCTCCCTCCGGATCATCCCACTGTACAGTTATCTGTCTCGTTGTGATTTCACTAGATCTCAGAACTGCACTTTTTGGATCTACAAGAACATCACAAATAAAATATATACAGTCAATGAAATCACATTATCATGATCACTATCAAGTATATGGTATTATCAAGTATATGGTGTCACCAGTGAGAGGAAAGGTGAACTGGATCAGTGTGACTCTTGGGTCTCTCCTCCCGGTATAACTGATCAGGACATACACGTGTCCAACCTCACCTCCGTTTCCCCCTACTCTTAATCAAATATTGCAGTGGGTTCTAAACATGCATTTGTGATGATTCTCCTACACACCAGACCTCCATTTAACATCCTATCCACGGGATGGGATCTTTTCCACTGTAGCCTAGCCAGCGACTATGAAACAGAGGCACACGTTTCGGTCATCTGCCTGGGCTAGATTTGAACCAATGGTTTTTCGTACTGAACCTTAAACCTGAAATACTAACATCAACAGATGCCGTTCTTCAATCAGTGAGCGTACCCAGGAAAATCCATCACTAGAGTTGGGTATGCTATCCGTTGCTGTTGGAATTATAAATCAGATCATGGTTTGTTTTTACAGAAAAACGTACCTGGAAATAAACCGTTAGACCGGGAAAGTAACCGTAAGCTATGAACAGTATTTTGAAACTTGAAACTTACATGTAGTGATTGTGATGGTGTCTGTCTCACTGCGTATGTCACTGCTGACTGAAGTAACTGATATAGTATAGTTTCCTCCAGGATTTAGGCCAGTGCAAGATGCTATTAGGTATTCTGAGGCGTAGACCTTGTCTGTTGAAGCAACTCCATTGGAACAGGAGACTTCATAGTAATCCACTATATCATTGGGCATGGTCCATGATGCAGTGATGGAAGTAGTATTCACTATATATATCTCCTCATATAAAGTGACTGCTGCAGGCACTACAAGAAAGAACAACAAATTGTGATTATGTGCGTGTGTGTGTGTGTGTGTGTGTGTGCTTGTAAAGCACTTTTCACGTTGATGACATTGTAGTCAATTTCACTTTGGTCGTCTTGACAATTGTCCTTGTTAGCTCCTTCCATTCCTAGTTTATCAGAAGGGTTTGAGCTCTAAGTCAGCTGAGTTGCAGATATCTTTGCTTACAGGTATTCAGGTTCTTACTAAGAACTGTTGGTACAGAGAATCATGTAGAAGAAGTTGTGTGTCCTGCAGAAAACGGTATATCGCTGGTATTTTCTCCTGTTCTGTTTACAACTTTATGAACATCCTGTGTCACAGTCATTTCAATATTTAAAGGAAAACTCACCCAAAATTATGAGGGTATTCTAAAAAAGGAAATGTATTCCTGCCCTGTGGAATGATATTCCTTCATACGAAAATGTTTAAGTGATGCATGAATGAAGATATTCCTTGCATGATGTAATGCTGCCTTTTGGCATAACATGGGCGAAGCCATTTTATTGATAATGTGACGTACAAGGCTAACTTGTAAATGTATCATACACAAAACTTTAGTTGGAAAGTTTTTTTAATTCAATAACAAAACCTATACTTTTCAATGAGGGGACATCATAGATGAAAAGGTAACAATTATATTTAATGAAAATATATAACAGAGTTAAAATAACACTCATCTCTTTTAATAAACTAAAACATAGTAGTTGAAAATTTATTTCATCTATGCGAAACCTTCAACACAAAAGCACAACTTATGTATGTCATTTGCGTTCTGGTTATTGCAATACAAAGGATAAAACAAGTGAATGAAATGCATCCCCACCACACACACCTGGGAAGGAAGCATTCATCAATTTGAATACCTTTAGTTGATAAACGACTACGCATAGTACGTCACGTTATCAAGTATTATGTTTGAGTCCGAAATAAGGCAAACTAAGACAGAAGTTTGAGTTTCAGTTGTATGTTTAATATGGCAGCTTCAATTTACAATCAGGGGACTATGCCCTCAGTCGGCATGAGATATACAGTTTGAATTGCATACACAACACATTTCCCCCCTTTTAAGATAACTGGCTTATGACAGTTTCAATATAAACGTCCAGAAATATTTTCAATTTTAACTTGAGTTCACTCTCTTGATGGTTAGACAAGATATCCAAAATATAGCCAAAATACATATATCCAGTTAAAGTTTCATTCTCCTTTTTGTATGCAGTTTACTTCATGGTTTAAACATAATCCTTCAGGTACCCAGGTTGTTGTCACATTCTTTGCGAGCGACGAAGAAGTGACTGTGGCTGGTCATTTTCTTCCTGACGGTGGTCGACCTTGTCATCGAAGATGAACTGGTCATCGCTCTGATCACCCAAACTTCCAGGACGGCTTGCGATCAGTCGTCGTGCATTCCACCGCGTTTTGTTGTGCAAGAGGAACGAGCTTGGACCTAACCTACGGATGATCTGCTTCGGTGGTGAGAACGAAGAAGCTACTTTGTGCGAGTGATTTGGGCGCTTGATTCGAACCCAGTCTCCGACCTTAAATGTTGCTGGTCTCGCGTTTCGACGTTTGTCAATGTACTCTTGCACTCGCTTCTGTTTCTCTGCGATTTCTTTCGCTTTCTCTGTGACCTCCGCAGATGGTGCAGTAGACGGTTCACCGGTCAAGGAATGAGATGTAGATCGATATGTACGCAGGCATATCTGGATCGCTTGAGCAACGCTTTTCTCTTCTGTCATGCTAGCTTTCACACTTTCTTTGATAACGCGATTGAATCGCTCAACGCCTCCGTTCGACTGTGGATTATAGCGAGATGTGCGATGGTGGCGTATGTTGTAGTGGGCCAAGAACTCTGTGAACTCTGCTGATACGAACTGAGGTTCGTTGTCTGTTGTCACGTGTCGAGGCAGACCCCACTTTGTGAAAAGCTTCTCGGGAACAGCAATGACCGATTTTGTAGTAACCGAACTTGTTGCAGCTATTTGTGGCCATTTGCTATGTAGGTCGTGTATGACTAGAAGGAAACGCTGACTACTCGGTGCTGCGACAACTTCTCCGAAGATGTCTACTTGAATGGATTGCCATGGTCCTGTAGCCCATGGCGTTGGCTGTAACGGTGCTGGGCGAGGAATTGCTGACTTTTAGCTCAGTGTACAGCTCACACAACTCTTCACCATTTCCTTGATTCGCGTGTCGATACCAGGCCACCAGACTGTTTCGCGACACCGCTGCTTCATCTTGACAATGCCTGGATGACCATCGTGTGCGACCTGGATGACCCGATGTTGCAGAGATTCTGGAATGACTGCTCGAGTAACGCGTGCAATGCAAACGTCGTCAAATATTGCGCGCTCATGTCTGACGCGGTAGTACGGTTTCAGAATATCACCTATGTCTTGAGGCCATTGTGTCTGCATATATTGACAGACCAGTTTCAGCGTAACATCTGTAGCTGATTCTGCGATGAGTTCTTCTCGCGAGACCAAGTGTGCTATTGCGTGCGACATGACTGTGAGAACGTAATCTTCGGTGTCCTTCGTGGCGTCATTGGGGCGATCGCTAGTGGGCGTGAGACGACTTAACATGTCTGCGACTCTGTTGCGCTTACCCGAGATGTACTCCACATCAAAATTATACTGGTGTAGACGATCAGACCAGCGGTAGATGCGTAGTGGGCGATGTCCTGACCCGGTTGTGCTCAACAACGTCGTCAGAGCCTGATGGTCCGTACGTAGAGTGAATCTGCGACCAAACAAGTACATATGCCAGTGTTCACAGGCATACACACAAGCAAGAGTTTCCCGCTCCCCTGTTGAGTACTTGCGTTCGGTGCTACTCAATGCGTGTGACGCAAACGCGACTGGACGCTCTTCTCCATCAATCAATTGCGACAGCACAGCTCCCACCGCGATACCAGATGCATCTGTAGTGACGAAGGTCTCCACATGAGGATCAAAATGTGCGAGTACCGGTGGCGAAATTATCATTGACTTGAGCGTGTCAAATGCCTGTTGCTGCCTGTCGGACCATTCCCATGGTGTGTCCTTACGCAACAATTTCTGCAAAGGTTCAGAGATGACTGCGTATTGCGGAACGAACTTGCGATAGAAATTTGTTGTGCCAAGGAACGAGGCGAGCTGTTTCGTGTTCTCAGGAGCATCTAGCTTGCGAATATAGCTTCGACGTTGTCTCGCTTTGGCTCCACTCCCGCTGCTGCAACTTTGTGGCCTAGGAAATCCACTGCCGATGCTGCGAATGTGCACTTCTCCCTGTTGAGAGTCAGGTTGTGCTTCGCGAAACGAGCGTGAACGTCATTCAAACGTTGATCATGCTCTTCCATTTCGCGACCATGGATGACGACATCATCTAGGAGGTTGACAGTTCCCTCACACTCTGCGAGAATTGAAGACACTATCTTTTGAAATGCGCTGGGCGCCGAACTGAGACCATATGGCATGCGCTTGTACTAAAACATGCCATCATGTGTGATGAATGCAGTAAGGTACCGGCTGCATTCTGCGAGTGGAATCTGTAGGTAGCTACGACGCATGTCTAGCTTCGTGAAGACTGTCGAGCCATGAAATGACACTGACAGCTCTTGGATGGTTGGCAGCGGATACTTATCCGGTATGATGGCTTTATTGACCGCTTTGAGGTCAATACAGAGGCGCAGTTCTCCATTCTTCCGGCGTGCTATCACCAGATTAGAAACCCACTGTGAGGAGTCTATGCGTTCGTTGATGTCATCCTTTTCCAGACGATGTAGTTCTGCTGACACTTCCTCACGAACTGCGAATGGTAGATGGCGTAAGCCCTGCGATACTGGACGCACTGATTGGTCTACCTGCGGTGCATGGCAGTATCCTGTAACAACTCCAAAGTCTGTGAACAGGGATGGATACTGTGCCATATGAGAGTGGTTGATGATGTTGACTTGCTCACCTGAGGGGTCACAAACGCGAAAACCCAGCAGGTCAAATAGGTCAACCCCTAGGAGGCTCTTACCCTTCGCGACGTAGATCCGACAACTGTCCACAGTCTTGTCCTTGAAGTGAACGGGCAACTTGACGCAACCTACATGTAGCACTGGAAATGACTTATCGGGGTAAGAAGTCAAAGTGACGGGTGCTGGCGTTAGCGGAAATGTAGAGAAATATCGCTTGTAGATCAAATCGTTGATGATCGTGACACTTGACCCTACATCGATCAAGAGATTGAGTGATACGCCATTCACTTCAAGTTCACAATACTTGAAGTCACCTCTACTCCCAACACTGTATACGAAAGCTGAGTGTTCCTCCTCACAAGAACTGGTGTCCTCTTCAACATATTGAACGCTTTGACCCTTTGAGCGACACATCTTAGCGAAATGATTCATTTTCGCACATGCTCTGCACTTTTTGCCATTTGCAGGGCAAGCACTTCTCTCAAATGCGTGTGTCCCTCCGCAGTTTCTGCATTCCGAGCGATGCTGCGTGGCTTGAGGCTTTGGACGGTAACCTCTCTTGGACACACCTTGTACTCGACCTTCTGAGCAGCTGGTTGCTGCAGCTGCAGTAGAACCACTATAACCAGGTAGTTGAGACTCCCTGCTATAACTCAGTGTTTTGGAATAGAGAAGAGCAGCTTCAACATTCTGTGCAACAGTTACTGCTTTCTCCAATGTCAAATCATCATTTTCCAACAACAATCGCTCTCTAATACGGGGTGTACTAGTTTTCTCGATGAGTTGGTCTCTAATTAGTTCATCTTTTAGGCCCCCAAACTTACATGTAGATGCCAACTGCTGCAGTGCAGCCACATATTGTTTTACTGGCTCCCCATTACCTTGAGCTCGTTTCCTGAAATTATACCGTTCGATCATAACACTTGTCTTGGGCCCAAAAATACTTCTCAAGCACTTCGACAGCTTCACTGTATTTGCTTAGTGACTTACCGCTATCCTTTGCTAGTTGATCGAGAATCCTCTGACCCTCTACGCCCAAGCAGTGGGCTAGAATGGCTCGCTTACGCTCCGGTGTAGCAGAGTCCAAACCAGTCGCTAACAAATATGTATCAAACGTTGAAATCCATCTTTCCCAAGGCATAACAGGTTCTCCTGGGCTGGCCAAAAAAGGCGCTGGGGCCGGTAGATTCAAAGCTGTAGCCATCCTCGTCGCCACGTATTATGTTTGAGTCTGAAATAAGGCAAACTAAGACAGAAGTTCGAGTTTCAGTTGTATGTTTAATATGGCGGCTTCAATTTACAATCAGGGGACTATGCCCTCAGTCGGCATGAGATATACAGTTTGGATTGCATACACAACATCAAGAAAATAGCAATATCCATGTCTTGCTGAGAAACTTTACATTATTCTTGCTTTATACCTCTTTTCATGAGTGATGAATTCAGAGTGATATACTCTGGAGGGAAAGTAAGACAACGTGGTGTTGCTCTTTTGCTGGACAAGCAAACAGCAAAGAATGTATGTAGGATTGAGGCTGTAAGCGATAGACTGCTAGCAGTCAGAATAAAGGGATCACCAGTTGACATCGCTGTGTTGGTTGTGTACATGCCTACAAGTGACTATGAAGACAAAGATGTGGAGGATATTTACGACATGATCGATGAGGAGCTGGAAAAAGGAAAAGGAAATGACTACCGTATTCTTCGTGGTGACTGGAATGCTATTGTCAGAAGCTCACATCACAAACACGAAGATGCTGTTGGTGAGTGGGGTCTCGGCAGGCAAAACCATAGAGGAAATAAGTTAGTGCAGTTTTGCAAGAGGAGAAAATTGGTGGTTACCAACACTCTCTTTGAACAGCATCCTAGACGCCGCTATACATGGAAAGCACCTGGGGATACTGCACGCTACCAGATTGACTATATTCTTGTGAACCAGCGTTACAAGAATAGTGTGAAAAATCTCTGGCATATCCAGGCGCAGACTGTGACTCGGATCACAACTTGGTGATGATGACAGTGCAGCTGAAACTGAAAAAGATGCGAGGGAGCTCCAAAGTGACGAGAATAGATAATGCAAAGCTGAAACAGAATGCATTAGTGTATGCATCTGGTGTCCAAACCCGGCTGTACTCTAGAGAATTTCCAGAGAGTCCCTCAGTTGCAGATGAATGGGAAAATCTAAAAGGTGCCTTGCATGGTAGTGCTGAAGAAAACGTTGGGTTTGGTAATAGAAAGAAGATCCGTAAACGATGGATAACGGAGGAAATGATTGATAAGATGGACCAGAGAAGGACGCTGAAAAGGACAACACTGCAGAAGGCAAAAGGGGTTACAAGAGGCTTAATAATGAACTAAGAAGAGCTACAGACAAAGCCCGAACTAACTGGTGGGAACAACAATGCAAGGAATTAGAGGATCTTAAACCGCATTGGGAGAACAGACCTTGTGTACAATAAAGTGAAAACTCTTAGTGATGATTTGTACAAAGGGAAAGAAAAGAACAACACATTAGGGGTGCTGGACGTGAATGGAGAACTGCTAACCAACCAACATGACATAGAGGATAGGTGGCGTCAGTATGTAGAGGAGTTGTATGCGAGGGACAATAAACCAGTCGCTCTGCCCTTGGAAATGGAAGAATATGTCATGGCAGATGACGTTGGTCCCCCCTTACTTCCAGAAGAGGTGCATGCTGCAGTCTGTCAGTTAAAGGAGAAAAAGGCAGCTGGGGAAGATAACATTACTGCTGAAATGCTCAAGAATATGGGGGAAGCTGGCATAATGGCACTGACTGAATTATGTCAACATATATATGAAAAGGGAATATGGCCAGAGGATTGGACAAGAAGCGAGTTGATCACTATTAAGAAGACTACAAAGGCAATCAGATGCGAGGATCATGGCACAATCAGCCTGGTATCACATGCTTCAAAAGTATTGCTAAAGATGCTCCACCATCGGATTGAAGCGAGGTCCAAAGATTATATTGGAATTGACCAATTTGAATTTCGTAAAGGGGTCGGTACCCCAGAAGCAATTGCTGTAATGAGAATATTAAGTGAGAGATGTATACAGCATGATCAGGACCTATATATCTGTTTAGTGGACTACAAAAAGGCATTTGATCGTGTCAATTGGACTAGGCTGATGGAAGTGCTGTCAGCCATTGGTGTTGATTGGAGAGACCGTAGACTGATTGCATGACTGTACATGTCTCAGACTGCAAGCGTTCGCGTTGGAGATGGGGTCTCTGAACCAGCCGTCATTGGACGGGAACACGCCAGGGATGCCTGCTGTCTCCTCTTCTCTTCAATATCTATGCAGAGGCAATGGCGCTATATCTCCCATCTCCATATATCTCTATGAGTATTACCGATACAAACAACGGAAGCTCGCAGTTTAGTATGACTGTCAACAGTTGCTATACTGCGCCGGTAGTACCGGTGTGCACGATGTCGCCCCATATTATATCTGTTCGAGCTAGAGGCGATCATTCGCGCAAGGCCCGAAACATGTAGAAGTTTTTCGTTGTGAAAAGCTACATCCTCTGAAATCTGACGATTCAAAAGACCAACAAATAATGAACAGGATGAAAGTCAGTATACCCCTATGTTACTTGTAAAAGAAAGAGGAAAAATGTCGCCTTAAATAAATGATAATCATGGAATAGCAAAGAATTTAGGAGTATCATGGGAACAAATTCAATGGAAATTTGTATTTAAAAAAGAGCCCCCGTGAGTACTAAAACAGCCCCCGTGAGAAGAGCCCCCATGAGTACTAAAAAAATATACAAATAATACATATCAATATATCAAATGGAGACTTACATAAACATAGAAATGACAAAGAACAAAAGCAAATAAATCACAAAAGAACTTACCAAACTTTCCACATACAGCTACTTTACTATGACTTTTTTAAAAATTTCCAGCAACTAATATATGTAGCAATAAATTTTCAGGATGTCACTCAAAATTCTGTGGAAGACCATCACAAAACCTCATGTGGAAAAAAGAAAAAAAGGAAAAAAATAAGCATCTGGTCTTACCCTGTTGGATGCTGAAATAAGACCGGAATACCAGGAGAAAGACTGTAAGGGATAGGAAACGACTAACTCCCCCCCCCCCCCAGCGTAGGAAAGATGGACACTAAACAATGACACTGATACTGATTAATTAGTGAACATGAAAAATCAACTTACCTGCAACAATGTACACGACTATGGCTGGACTCTCTCCATTGTTTTCGCGTGTGATAACACTAATTGAGTGATTACCCCCTGATGTAACCCAATTACAAGTCACCGCAGTAGCTGAACCAGGAAGATAATAGTCAGGGAATGGGTAGCCATCAGAGCATTCAACTCTAAACCAATCAGCTCCAGTTAATACATTCCAGGTGACAGTAACTGACGTTGTGTTTGATGAACTGTCCTCAAAGGTTACTACGTCTGGAGCTAAATGTAAATAGTTATACAGAAATACAACCATGATTTCAGTTGGTTTCATCCCAAAAGCCTGAATAGAAACCCAAACATCTAAGAGTCCCATTTATTCTATGAAGCGATCCACGGCGAGACGGCCCGGTGGCCAAAGCCGCCCCGCCTAGTACCGACTCAGAAAATGTTAAAGTATAACTTTAGTTCTTGAAGTGTAGAAACCGAAGATAAATCAAAGTCACTAAAACAAATTCTTGATTGGAGTTGAAGATTTATTAAAATAAACGTAGAATTAATAAAATCACGAAGTTCATGTTTTGGGGCTGGGCAACCCAATTGAAGCAAATTAGCAACTCATGTCGGAATCGTAACGGAAAAGAGGTCCCGCTCCAGAGACGCAACTCGGTTTTTATCCCCCCGAACTGACACGCCTCGTCCTCCCAAAAATTGAGGCGTGTCACACAGACGCTTTGCGTAATATCAATCCACCCATAATTAGTTTTCATATTAAAAGGTCCTATATTTCTTGGCGAATTTACCCCCTCGGATATTAAGGCGCTCCGGATGATCCGCATCTCTATTCCTCACATACTTCTTTCACGCACCCACCTGTGTCTCTTACATTCTAATCTTTCAAACAAGAGATGCAAATCACCCGGAGACCCAACAACCCTGGAAATTAATTCAATGAATATAAAAAGGGATAAATGTTGCTATGTCCGTCCACACTAGCGAGCCCACATGCTTCTGGCTATTACACACCTGTAATCCTCACTTCCTCTCTCATACTATTTCGATAGTGTGAACAGACCCGGCAACAAGGAAAAACCCTTCCAATTGTAATACAAATCTATTTCCCAAATTTGCCTAATTAAATTTAAGTCAACTGTGGCGACACGCCCAGCGACACCTAATCCAATCGGCCAAGCCGAAAAAGTAGAGCCAAAATTAAGAGCGCAACGTCTCGGAACAGGTGTTAAAAATAGCATACAAGGAATTCACCATGTATGTTTGTAAACATAGTTCTAGCGAAATCTACCAGGAATTTGCCTTGTACATGTACGTCAATGAACCTTTGAGGAAAACGTAAACACGAGAATATCCATATCATTACATCTATACAATATGGAGCCAAACAAAGCCTAAAACAGAGAGAGGTAAAAGCTACGGACTAAATAAAGTCGGGCATATGAGCCTGAAAACTGAAATCTAGCTTGCCCCTACATCTACGTTTCAATGTTACACAGAAGACGACTGGATTATTACATTGTTATTGCTACTCTTCTTCATTTTACTCTCACTTCAGGTCTTAACCAAAAAGAAAAGCCCAATTTCTACTGGGTGGTTTGCTAAAAGACCCCCCCCCCTTCCCCCCCCCCCCCCAAAAAAAAAACTTTTGTTCTTGACTACAACTAGAATATAATAAGCAATATAATAGATATGTTTTTTTTTTAAATGATTTGAAAAATGTAAATTGGTTATACCAAGGGTACCAGATTGTCATATAAATAATATGATCGAAATTGAAGGGAGCTGTAAACCTTCTTGATGCTGGAAGTCTGAAACAGCTTTCAATCCTAGTAATGAGAATTCAGTCGCATAACTGGTTACCGCTTGATATCCAATTTGGTTTTCTTGGACTACAACAGCAACTTAGATATTTCTTGAACTTGAAGGCTAATTAACATCAGGCAACCCAATATGAAAATACTTTTGACTACCCCGACCTCAAAAGATGCCCGTTCATTTTACAAAAAGTATTTTCAACTCTGTATTCATTTCAACATTAGGGCAAGTCCAAGCAACATTAACATGTATTGAATTCAAGAGAGAGAGAACATTTACTTTTATCCACATGAATTTAATTTTTTATAACTGAAAGTATTTATTGTACAAAAGTGTAATTACTTACTTGCAGCTGTAAAGGTCATAGTGACAGGGCTCTCTTTATCCCCACTCACGCTGGTCACAGTAACGTCATAGGAAGCTCCAGCTATCGATATGTTACAAGTTGCTTCAAATGTGTTGTCTGTCCCTTGATCATGGTTGAGAATGAATTCAGTGCTCCAATGAGCACCACAGTCTACAATGAAGTAATCTTCTTCTCCCTCCGGATCATCCCACTGTACAGTTATCTGTCTCGTTGTGATTTCACTAGATCTCAGAACTGCACTGTTTGGATCTACAAGAACATCACAAATAAAATATATACAGTCAATGGAATCACATTATCATAATCAATATCAAGTATTTGGTGTCACCAGTGAGAGGAAAGGTGAACTGGATCAGTGTGACTCTCGGGTCTCTCCTCCCGGTATAACTGATCGGGACATACACGTGTCCAACCTCACCTCCGTTTCCCCCTACTCTTATTCAAATAGTGCAGTGGGTTCTTAACATGCATTTGTTATATATGATTCTCCTACACACCAGACCTCCATTTATCATCCTATCCAAGGGATGGGATCATTTCCACTGCAGCCTAGCCCGCAACTATGGAACAGAGGCACACGTTTCGGTCATCTGCCTGGGCTAGATTTGAACCAATGTTTTTTTGGTACTGAACCTTAAACCTGAAATATTAATATTAACAGAAACCTTTCTGCAGAACTGATACAGCGAGCGTACTCATGAAAATCCATCACTAGAGTCAGGTGTGCTATCCGTTGCTGTTGGAATTATATGCAGATTATGGTTTGTTTCTACAGAAAAGCCTACCTGGAAAGTAACCGAAAGTAACAATATTTTGAAATCTTTTAGAAATATGCATTATTGAAACTTACATGCAGTGATTGTGATGGCCGTGTCTGTCTCACTGCGTATGTCACTGCTGACTGAAGTAACTGATATAGTATAGTTTCCTCCAGGAATTAGGCCAGTGCAAGATGCTATTAGGTATTCTGAGGCGTAGACCTTGTCTGTTGAAGCAACTCCATTAGAACAGGAGACTTCATAGTAATCCACTATACCATAGGCCATGGTCCATGATGCAGTGATGGTGGTAGTATTCACCATGTATATCTCCTCATTTAAAGTGACTGCTGCAGGCACTGCAAGAAAGAACAACAAATTGTGATTATGTGTGTGTGTGTGCTGGTAAAGCACTTTTCACGTGGATGACATTGTAGTCAATTTCACTTTGGTTGTCTTGACAATTGTCCTTGCAATTGTTAGCTTCTTCCATTCCAAGTTTATCAAAAGCGTAGGCGCTCTAAGTTCACTAGAGTGGCAGATATCTTTGCTTACAGGTCTTCAGGTTCTCATCAGGTTCTCAAATAAGACGCAAGATCATCTGGTCTCACTCAGGTGGATGCTGAATTAAGCCTAGAATGCTAGGAGAGAGGCCATAAGGGATAGGAAACGTCTAACCTCCCAGTGTAGGAAAGATGGACACTAAACAACGACACGGATAAATTAGTGAACGTGAAAGATCAGCTTACCTGCAACAATGTACACGACCATGGATGGACTCTCTCCATTGTTTTCCTGTGTGATAACACTAATTGAGTGATTGCGCCCTGGTGTAACCCAATTACAAGTCACCTCAGTAGCTGAACCAGGAAGATAATAGTCAGGGAATGGGTAGCCATCAGAGCATTCAACTCTAAACCAATCAGCTCCAGTTAATACATTCCAGGTAACAGTAACTGATGTTGTGTTTGATGAACTGTCCTCAAAGGTTACTTCGTCTGGAGCTACATGTAAATAGTTATACAAAAATACAACCATGATTTCAGTTGGTTACATCCCAAAAGCCAGAATAAAACCCCATGATCACTCTATACAATATGGAGCCAACAAAGCTTGAAACAGAGAGAGGTGAAAGCTAGGGACTAAATAAAGTCAGACATGAGCCTGAAAACTGGAATCTAGATTGCCCCTACATCTACAATTCATTGTTACACAGAAGATGACTGCATTATTTCATTGCTATTGCTACTCTTCTTTATTTTACTCTTTACTTGATTTTAATAAGCAATAGAATAGATATGATTTTTTTTTTTTAAGATCTGAAAATTGTAACTGATGATAACAAGGGTTCCAGTTTTTCATATGAATAATATGACTGAAATTGAAGGGAGCTGTAAACCTCCTTGACGCTGGAAGTCTGAAACAGCTTTCAATCCTAGTAATGAGAATTCAGTCGCATAACTGGTTACCGCTTGATATCCAATTTGGTTTTCTTGGACTACAACAGCAACTTAGATATTTCTTGAAGTTGAAGGCTAGTTAACATCAGGCAACCGCAATATGAAAATGCTTTTGACTACTCTGGACCTCAGAAGATGAGCGTTCATTTTACAAAAAGTATTTTCAACTCTGTATTCATTTCAACATTAGCGCAAGTCCAAGCTACATTAACATGTTTTGAATTCAAGAGAGAACATATACTTTTATCCACATGAATTATGTTTTTCATAACCGAAAGCATTTATTGTACAGAAGTGTAATTACTTACTTGCTGCTGTAAAGGTCTGAGTGACAGAGCTCTCTTTATCCCCACTCACACTGGTCACAGTAATGTCATAGGGAGCTCCAGCCATCGATACATTACAAGTTGCTTCAAAAGTGTTGTCTGTTCCATGATCATGGTTGAGAATGAATTCAGTGCTCCAATCAGCACCACAGTCTACAATGAAGTAATCTTCTTCTCCCTCCGGATCATCCCACTGTACAGTTATCTGTCTCGTTGTGATTTCACTAGATCTCAGAACTGCACTGTTTGGATCTACAAGAACATCACAAATAAAATATATACAGTCAATGGAATCACATTATCATAATCATTATCAAGTATATGGTGTCACCTGTGAGAGGAAATGTGAACTGGATCAGTGTGACTCTCTGGTCTCTCCTCCCGGTATAACTGATCGGGACATACAAGTGTACAACCTCACCTTTGTTTCCCCCCTACTCTTATTCAAATATTGCAGTGCGTTCTTAACATTTGTGATGATTCTCCTACACACCAGACCTCCATTTAACATCCTATCCAAGGGATGGGATCTTTTCCACTGTAGCCTATAGCCTGCGATTATGGAACAGAGGACACACAATGCAGGATACGGTCATCTGACTGGGCTAGATTTAAAACCATCGTTTAATTTGGTACTGAACCTTGAACCTAATATACTAACGTTAACAGAAAGCTTTCTTCGTACAGCGAGCGTACCCAGGAAAATCCATCACTAGAGTCAGGTATGCAATCAGTTACTGTTGGAATTATAATGAGATCAGGCGTACCTGGAAAAAACATACCTGGAAATAAACCATTTGACCCGGAAAGTAACCGAAAGTAACAGTATTTTGAAACTTGAAACTTACATGAAGTGATTTTGATGGTGTCTGTCTCACTGCGTATGTCACTGCTGACTGAAGTAACTGATATGGTATAGTTTCCTCCAGGATTTAGGCCAGTACAAGATGCTATTAGGTATTCTGAGGCGTAGACCTTGTCTGTTGAAGCAACTCCATTGGAACAGGAGACTTCATAGTAATCCACTATACCATAGGGCATGCTCCATGATGCAGTGATGGAAGTAGTATTCACCATATATATCTCCTCATTTAAAGTGACTGCTGCAGGCACTACAAGAAAGAACAACAAATTGTGATTATGTGTGTGTGTGTGTGTGTGTGTGTAAAGCACTTTTCATGGTGATGACATTGTGGTCAATTTCACTTTGGTCATCTTGACAATTGTCCTTGTTAGCTCCTTCCATTCCTAGTTTATCAGAAGGGTTAGAGCTCGAAGTCAGCTGAGTTGCAGATATCTTTGCTTACAGGTATTCAGGTTCTTACAAAGAACTGTTGGTACAGAGAATCATGTAGAAGAAGTTGTGTGTCCTGCAGAAAACGGTATATCGCTGGTATTTTCTCCTGTTCTGTTTACAACTTAATGAACATCCTGTGTCACAGTCATTTCAATATTTAAAGGAAAACTCACCCAAAATTATGAGGGTATTCTAAAAAAGGAAATGTATTCCTGCCCTGTGGAATGATTTTCCTTCATACGAAAATGTTTAAGTGATGCATAAATGAAGATATACCTTGCATGATGTAATGCTGCCTTTTGGCATAACATGGGCGAAGCCATTTTATTGATAATGTGACGTAAAAGACTAATTTGTAAATGTATCATACACAAAACTTTAGTTGGAAATGTTTTTTAATTCAATAACAAAACCTATGCTTTTCAATGAGGGAACATCATAGATGAAAAGGTAACAATTATATTTAATGAAAATATATAACAGAGTTAAAATAACACTCATCTCTTTTAATAAACTAAAACATAGTAGTTGAAAATTTTATTTCATCTATGCGAAACCTTCAACACAAAAGCACAACTTATGTATGTCATTTGCGTTCTGGTAATTGCAATACAAAGGATAAAACAAGTGAATGGAATGCATCCCCACCACACACACCTGGGAAGGAAGAATCTATTACTTTGAATACCTTTAGATCAGGCCTTCTCAACTAGTTTATTAGAAGTGCCAAAACTAAAGAGAATTTGTAGTTGAAGTGCTCTGTATGGTTGACTGAGCTGCGAGGGAGCGTAGCGACCGAGCTGAAAATTGGTGGGGTCCAGGGGCAAAGCCCTAATGGGGGTAGCAAGGGGCAAAGCCCCTGAAGCTGGTGGATTTAGGGCTTTCTAAAGGCCCAAATGGGGCATTTTTAGCACCATTTCATTCCACAATAAAATCAATCATAATTTCATATTGATTTGAATAAATAAGTACAATTCCTGGGTACAATTACACTGGAGGTATATTTATATGTAGTTTTTTGTGTGCAATAAACGCGGGAAATGTCAAAATAAAGTGAAAATCAAACAAACAAAAACAAGGTGTTTCCAGAGATTGGCAATGTTAAAATTGGTATCCCATTCTAAGCTAATTGTTGTTCAGACCTCAGGTTCAGATTCATATAAAATGGTAAAAACGATAAATTCCCCTTTCTTCCTGTTTGTTAAGCAGGCATTTTGGGCTTAAATTCGACTGCAACTTCTTGATTAAGCTCAGTATTTAATTCTAAAATATATATTTTCTTTCTTTCTGTTTTTTGTTTTGTTGTTGCAACAGTCGCGCGCCACTCCGACTGACCACAGCGCCACAAGTGGCGCGCACCGCCAGCTGAGAAGGCCTGCTTTACTAGATGATAAATGACTTCGCATAGTACGTCACGTTATCAAGAAAATGGCAATATCCATGTCTTGCTGAGAAACTCTACATTATTCTTGCTTTATACCTCTTTTATAAACTTTGGTGGACAAGCGTGTAGATCAATGGGCAAGAATATAATAAACTTCTTAGAACAATTATCAAGCTATTACTTAAGAGTTAGGTTTTCTTTAGGGTAAACATACAAATAATACATATAAATGTACCAAATAAAAAAATAAAAGGAAAGAGAGAGTCGGGATTATATTAAGTTTGTTCATTACTATATTACTCGAGAATCATAGATTTCTAAAAGAGACAATTGAAATATGAAGAGAAAAATTGATATTGGACCAAACTTTCCACATACAACTACTATCACCTTTGAAGAAAAAAATTGCAGCAACTAATACATGTAGCAATAAATTTTCAGGATGTCACTCAAAATTCTGTGGAAGACCATCACAAAACCTCATGTGAAAGGAGAAACAAAAATAAGACACAAGAGCATCTGGTCTCACTCAGGTGGATGCTGAATTAAGACCAGTATGCTAGGAGAGAGGCTATAAGGGGGTAGGAAAGATGGACACTAAACAACGGCACTGATACCGACTAATTAGTGAACATGAAAGATCAACTTACCTGCAACAATGTACGCGACCATGGCTGGACTCTCTCCATTGTTTTCCCGAGTGATAACACTAATTGAGTGATTGCCCCCTGATGTGACCCAAATACAAGTCACTTCAGTAGCTGAACCAGGAAGATAATAGTCAGGGGATGGGAAGCCCTCAGAGCATTCCACTCTAAACCAATCAGCTCCAGTTAATACATTCCAGGTGACAGTAACTGACGTTGTGTTTGATGAACTGTCCTCAAAGGTTACTACGTCTGGAGCTAAATGTAAATAGTTATACAAAAATACAATCATGATTTCAGTTGGTTTTATCCCAAAAGCCTGAATAGAAACCCAAACATCTAAGAGTCCCATTTATTCTATACAATATGGAGCCAAACAAAGCCTAAAACAGAGAGAGGTAAAAGCTAGTGACTAAATAAAGTCAGACATGAGCCTGAAAACTGAAATCTAGCTTGCCCCTACATCTACGTTTCAATGTTACACAGAAGACGACTGGATTATTACATTGTTATTGCTACTCTTCTTCATTTTACTCTCACTTCAGGTCTTAACCAAAAAAGGAAAAGCCCAATTTCTACTGGGTGGTTTGCTAAAATACCCCCCCCCCCTTCCCCCCCCCCCCCCCCCAAAAAAAAAAAAAAAACTTTTGGTCTTGACTACAACTAGAATATAATAAGCAATATAATAGATATGTTTTTTTTTTAAATGATTTGAAAAATGTAAATTGGTTATGCCAAGGGTACCAGATTGTCATATGAATAATATGACTGAAATTGAAGGGAGCTGTAAACCTTCTTGATGCTGGAAGTCTGAAACAGCTTTCAATCCTAGTAATGAGAATTCAGTCGCATAATTGGTTACCGATTGATATCCAATTTGGTTTTCTTGGACTACAACAGCAACTTAGATATTTCTTGAACTTGAAGGCTAATTAACATCAGGCAACCCAATATAACAATACTTTTGACTACCCCGACCTCAAAAGATGCCCGTTCATTTTACAAAAAGTATTTTCAACTCTGTATTCATTTCAACATTAGGGCAAGTCCAAGCAACATTAACATGTATTGAATTCAAGAGAGAGAGAACATTTACTTTTATCCACATGAATTTAGTTTTTTATAACTGAAAGTATTTATTGTACAAAAGTGTGATTACTTACTTGCTGCTGTAAAGGTCATAGTGACAGGGCTCTCTTTATCCCCACTCACGCTGGTCACAGTAACGTCATAGGGAGCCTCAGCTATCGATACGTTACAAGTTGCTTCAAAAGTGTTGTCTTTCCCTTGATCATGGTTGAGAATGAATTCAGTGCTCCAATCAGCACCACAGTCTACAATGAAGTAATCTTCTTCTCCCTCCGGATCATCCCACTGTACAGTTATCTGTCTCGTTGTGATTTCACTAGATCTCAAAACTGCACTGTTTGGATCTACAAGAACATCACAAATAAAATATATACAGTCAATGGAATCACATTATCATGATCATTATCAAGTATTTGGTGTCACCTGTGAGAGGAAAGGTGAACTGGATCACTGTGGCTCTCGGGTCTCTCCTCCCGGTTTAACTGATCGGGACATACCAGTTTACAACCTCACCTCCGTTTCCCCCTACTCTTATTCAAATATGGCAGTGGGTTCTAAACATGCATTTGTGATGATTCTCCTACACACCAGACCTCCATTTAACATTTAATCCAAGGGATGGTGTCTTTTCCGTTGTAGCCTAGCCTGCGACTATGGAACAGAGGACACACGATGCAGGATCAGGTCATCTGTCTGGGCTTGATTTGAACCCATGGTATTTGGTTTGACATATAAGGTACTGAACCAACTTGCCCCCTCTTGAAACATAAGGGATAATGATCTTGTAAGACATTCTGATTTTGTTAAAACAACTGAAAAATCATCGAAAAATTGGATACACTGAATGCTAATGTGAAAGCGATCTGTAGTGAAGTCTCTGAGATGCAAGCAAATATGGCTGATTTACAAGCCGCAGTCGCGGATTCCAGCGAAAGGCTTACTGTGATTGAAAGTGATGTTTTGCCCAAGATGCAAAAAAAGAATGAAAACCTCAAAAACGAATTGAAGCAAATGATAATGGCATTGGAATTAAATGATCAAAAAATTAATCTTTTGGTCTATAGAGTAGAACAAAAGAAAGATGAAAGAGTTGTGGAAGTTGTGATAAGCATAATTCGAAAGGTGGGTTTCTTGAAGGAGGAGGCGCCGAGTATGTTCATAGCGAACTCACATCGGTTCCCAAGACGTGTCACACCCGGAAATTACGAGAGTAGACGTGGTCATGATCCCATCATTGTATGGTTTGGCGCCATGTGGGATAGGGATGCCGTCTTAAATGCATACCAATGAGCAAAAGTACTTCCGATGACCTCGGAAGGTCAAGCTGCTGTCCGTCATGCTTTCCGCATTGTGACCGACTTACCAGCACCACTGAAGAGAAGGCGATTCTTACTCGAGCAAAAAGCATACCAAATGAGAAAGAATTGGAATAAGTCCACAAGAATCAAAATAAATGGGTGTAAATGTGCCTCTACAGTGTCAAGAGAAGGGATCATCGTCAGCATGGCGTATTGTTCTTGATTGAGGTATTATAAAAAGCCTCCACATTTAAATAGATCGAAACGAATAGTTTTGAATCTATGTCACCTGAAGTTGTCATAATTTGTACCATTTTGGGTGCCAAGTCTTATAGGCCAAGAGCATTAGGTCAAAATAGGCTTAAACCTGGACATTTTTGGTAACAAGCTGATTTTTTTCAGGATAGCTCCAGGAATATGTCTAGAATAACATACTAAAAGTCCTCGTATATCCTCCTTGAGCGTTTTCCGTAATCCAAGATGGCGTCCAAAATGGCCGCCATTTCCTGATTTTCTTATAACTTTGCAACTAGATAACCCAAATACAAAATTTAAATTTCTAAATATATATTTTTTAGCATAAGGAACTCAATAAAATACATGTTGATAAATTCTTAAACACACAAGTAGCTATAAACCACTTTTAGCCCTTTTCGAAATCCAAAATGGCGCCCAAAATTGCCGCCATTTCCTGTATTTCTTCTAACTTTGCAACTAGATAACCCAAATACCAAATTTAAATGTCTAAATATATGTTTTTCAGCATAAGCAACTCAACCAAATACTTATCAATAAATTTTGAAACACACAAGTGGCAGTAAAACCACTTGAGCCCTTTCCGAAATCCAAAATGGCGTCCAAAATGGCCATTATTTCGAATTTATCTCACTGTATTATTAGGTGCGTTATGAATAGAATCAAATGTCTATACTAGAAAAGCACTATTGTAATACATATCAGTACAAATAAACCTTTCATTAAATAATTAAATATTTCTTATACATAACGTATACACACCCACCCACCCACCTACACACATATGGCTGCTTCCATCAGACTGACAGTGTGCAAACCGTGAAGAGTACTCAACGTTAGATGGAACTGAAAATGGAGACACATTAGTACCAATTACTGTCGCAAAGGCAAAAGTCACAAGGTTTCAAACAGGAAATGCACCTCAATAGCACATGCCATGTCATCTCTGCTAGTAGACCAGGTCATTTCTGCTAGTAGACCAGGTCATTTCTGCTAGTAGACCAGGTCATTTCTGTCGCCAATATTGTTGGAATGGCTTCGTATAAACACCGGAAGTGCAACATGAGCTTTGTCCTTCATGGATTGGTTTCATGAAAGTGGCCATGCAGAGTGACCAGTACGAGAATTGAAACTCTGCCCATCATAAATTTAGACCCCTCCAATCCGAGTACCATCTCCACGGCACTATACTTTGCAGTCACAATGTGAAAAACATATAACTTAAAAATATGTGCAGTAACATTTAACCAGCCCTCGTACTTCAAGGCAGCAGAGATTGTAGCTTCTTCTCAAGACCTAGGAAAAGTAATCGTCCGTTTTGGTGGATTTCACCTCCTCATGTCATATCTCGGCAGCATATAGTCCACGTCATAGGCAGAAGTATGCTTGTAGAGCTATGGGAGACAGTGTACGTCAAAGGGTCTGTCATACATATGCAATCTGGTCATGCATTTCCCCCCTTCTCTTCGTGCTCACATTCTTACTTCAGCTGCCGGCATTGGCGTGTTGATGGGTAAACCTGGTGTCTTAGACAGCATAGATAAGGACCACTTAGCGAATCTGTATGGCGCACTCCTCAACCAGGACAAGAAGGTGACTGCTGTACCTGAGAAGAGTGTGTCAAACAGTTAAAGTCAGATCATTTCACAACTCATTGAACGGGCAGCAGGACACAGTAGGACAGGGAAACTTTGGTTGCAGTAAATCCGACATTTATGTGTCTCTTCTGCAATGTTTCATTCCAGCTGAAAGGACAGGGGACTGGAAGCTCCATCTCAGCTGTGTGAGGGAAATGATACAACATTTCTATGCTGCAGGACATCTTCCCTGGTTCAAATATGCCAGGTTGTTTTTACAACAGATGGAAGCTCTAGAGCAAACCATGCCAGGAAATGAATATATACAATTCGCAGAAATGGGATACTTGACCATCCGCCATGTGGATTCATTCTGGGGTGGAAACTGCTCTGATCAGACCATTGAAAAGTTCCTGATGCGGCAGCTGAAAACATCAGAGAAATGACTCATGGACGTGGAATCACAGACAGTACATTGGCTATTAAAGTGGGTTCATGCACTTCCTCACTGTGTTCCTACCTGATGAACTGGAACAGTTCACCGGAGTACACACTGGTACACCAGAGCAGCATAAAGACATACAGCAAAGTACCAGGTCAAGAGACAATAAAGAAAGATGTATCTTTGTTGGATGGCTGCAGGCACATCACCATTTGCTTGATACGAAACTAATTGCCAGGTCTCCTTGTCAACTGGCATCGTCGCTGGCTTATCTGTTTATTGTGATTAACCTGTACAAATCGGCCTAGTAGCGGCATCCGAAACGAATGCATGGTAGGAAGTTTACAGAATTCAAGCTACGTACATCGTAAGGACAAGGTGAAGACCATTGGTGCCAAGAGTAAGAGAGTGAAAATCAGGGGACAAAGCACATAAGTCAACCCAACACTACTGTTCAACAGAATAACATGTGTCCTGAATAACAACACTGAGATGGAATCGGTCTTTGCTTATGAACATATTCCCACGCACTTTCCCTTTCAAAGGTGGGGTGATGCGGAAGCCAACAAAGAGTTCTCTGGGTCTCCTGCTGAATTCGTTCTCCAAACAATCCAACGTGCCAGAAATGGTCTCTTTGTTTAAGATGGTGGTCGCCTACTGCACCCTTAAGCATTATGGAGCTCATTTGACGGTGGTGTTCGATGGATATGGAAGTGCAACTTCGACAAAGGTAGCTGAGCAGAGACGAATAGCCCAAAGATGTACCTCTTTATTTGATGATAATATATTATATGCCTACAAGCACAACCCAAAACAGCTTTCCTTGCCAATAGCAACAATAAGATGAGACTTATACAAACTCTACGTGACAAAATACGTATCAAGCAGGCAGAAGCGGATGCCACTACCCTGATTGTCTCTACAGCACAAGCAGTAGCAGAGTCAGAACAGGTGCCCGTTGTTGTCGTTGGTAAAGACACAGATTTACTGGTCATGCTAGTTGCTCCGGCAACCACTTCCACAGATATGCACATGCTATGCCGCAGAATCCTGTCACGGTCTTCAACATTCATGAAATTCAGCATGCCATAGGGGACACTATAAATTGCCTGATGTTTCTTTAAGCTGTGACAGGGTGTGATACGGTCTCTGCAATCTACTGTCAGGGCAGTCGTAAAACTTTCAATATGGTCCACAAGAAACTTGACTATGGCTTGCTTGATACATTCGCAGTGGAAGCACCCATGACGAGGTAAAAAAAAAGCCGGGAAAGCCTTTATGGGGCCAGCAGTTCTTGATGACTATCGTCACACTGCATACAATTAAACAGGCAATTGGTCGCAGTTCTCTGAGTTCATCCTTTCAGTTCAAAAGTCTACTTTCAACTAGTGCTGCAGCAAAGCAACATCCATACCGCACCTCTTACAGTCATTATGTATGAAAAGCTTTAGCGACCTTGGTACTAATGTGCCTACATTTTCAGTTCCATCTAATGTTGAGTACTCTTTACGGTTGCACACTGTCAGTCTGATATCGTTGAGGATGATGGAAGCAGCCATATGTGTATGTGGGTGTGTGTGTGTGTACTTTATGCATAAGAAGTATTTTTTAATTAAAATATTGTTGTACTGATATGTATTTCAATGGTGCTTTTCTAGTCTAGACATTTGATTATATTCATTACGTATCTACTTACAATGAGATACATTTGGAAATAATGGCCATTTTGGGTGCCATTTTGGATTTCGGGATGGGCTCAAGTGGTTTTACTGCTACTTGTGTGTTTCAAAATGTGTTAATAACTATTTGGTTGAGTTCCTTATGCTGAAAAACATATATTTAGACATTTAAATTTGGTATTTGGGTTATCCAGTTGCAAAGTTAGAAGAAATACAGGAAATGGCGGCAATTTTGGGCGCCATTTTGGATTTCGAAAAGGGCTAAAAGTGGTTTATAGCTACTTGTGTGTTTAAGAATTTATCAACATGTATTTTATTGAGTTCCTTATGCTAAAAAACATATATTTAGACATTTAAATTTTGTATTTGGGTTATCTAGTTGCAAAGTTATAAGAAAATCAGGAAATGGCGGCCATTTTGGACGCCATCTTGGATTGCGGAAAACGCTCATGGAGGATTTATGAGGACTTTTAGTATGTTAATCTAGACATATTCCTGGACCTGTCCTGAAAAAATCAGCTTGTTACCAAAAATGTCCATGTTAAAACTAATGCTCTTGGCCTATTAAGCTTATAAATATTTTATCACCATATATGTGTTAAAACCTTTAATCACAAGCATCGCTTTCTACCAGTATGGAGACAGATGTGAAAGTGTACAGTGATCAAATGTTAAGTCATGATCACTTTGTGTCTGTTTCTCAATCTTACCTACCGTACATTAAACAACTTTCTTAAAATAATGAATGAATGATCATTTTGAAAAAAAATAAAGGGAAAGAGAAAGTTGAGTTTATATTATATTTGTTCATTACTATATTACTTGAGAATCATAGATTTATAAAGAGATAATCAAAATATGAAGAGAAAAATTGATATTCATGAGATCTGTCAACACAATTGGTGAAACAAACAAATTCTTACGGATCTGGCAACAACAAAAAAGATCAGCAGAGACAATGTGTAATGACTTCTATACACCCGATAGAGAAAAGAAAGAAGAAAATACTTTTGAGGGAGAATGAAAGTTTCCTGTCTTTCGTTTTAGGAGCAATTTTTGTTGAATAGGATGAAACTTACCGGTATATGGTTCTATTAATACCAATCAGTCATTGCCCATTACCTGTGTTGATGCCAAAGTAGTCTCTTGAAAGATAGCTTTAGTTTTAAAACAAAGTAACTCAATAGGGGTGTGGTTTTTTTTTTTCTTCTAGTCGTTTATAACAAGAAATGGCTAATCAGGAATCTAAACATCACCAAGTTATGAACACTAAAAGGAAAAAACCCTTGTGACTTGTTTGTCATCACATAATGGAAATCAAAGATTACCTTACTGTTTTGGGGTTTCCTTTGGGGGTGGCGTGTGAGTGGGAAACAACTGTGGTCATGATCATAGAAATGTGTGATCTGAAATGGTTTAGGGTGCATTTATGCTTAATTTTTGAAGGCGTAGCGTTTTGAATCGCACATCGTAAACGCAGTTCAAAAACACAGTTCGCAGGGATATTGTTTGTGCTCACTTTTGGGGTGCTCGAGAGAGGAAGCTGATTTAAAAGAATAGACCAGCTTCATAATGTATTCAAATTGAATGCATAGGCATATCAAAATGAGAAAAGACGCAACATTGTTTTGGTCTTCACGTGTTTGAGAACGCTCACTCTGGCCCGAAAGGGTTGAGCATGGGCGCAGCCTTATAGTGAAGCAATGCTCGTGCAAAATACGCTTTGTTACCCTTATACTGATCACTTGTTCATGTAATGAATGCTATATATGGATAATTCTCAGAAGTGTTTGTGGGCTCAAGATTGGAATTTTGGGAATTTATTACTATCTAATAAACAAAAGTATTAAGCTAGATCTCTTTTGCGTTTGGTGCAATTTTATTAGACACTGACAATTTTCAGAGAACTTACAAGCTGTGATGGTGATTGTAGATTCATAACTGCTTTCATCTCCGCTCTGTGATGTGACAGTGATAGTGTAGTTTGCCCCGGCAGTAGATAGTCCCTCACAAGATATCTGGTAGATGTAAGTGCCATCTTCCACTATTGGTGAAGATGGATCTTCTGTACCATCTGAACATGAGAAGGTGTACTGGTCTATAGCTCCACTAGGCTTGGTCCACTCGGCTGAGATGGAATCGTTTGTGGCTCCGTATTCAAAGAGATTCACGGGGGAAGGTTCTGCAAAAAAAGAATAATAATAAATAGATAGTAAAAATTCCAAACCCTATCTATGATATGGGAAAGCACCTTGCATCCTCGGGAAAAGGCACTATAATTATGTACATCAAATTATTATCATAATTATCAATATCATTATCATTTTCTTTATTATTATTATTGTTTTTTTTATATACCTCTCTTTAAAAATCTAGCCATCTGATTGGTCGAAATTGCAGTTGTGGTTTTGGATATTCCCTTAAAGAGACAAACAAATGGTCAATAGTCCATGAGTGATTTAATTTCTGCAAGATTGTGGGTACCAGAAAAATAGTTAAATACCCATTGGTTAATGTGTTAAACTTCGTGTTCAAACTAAGTTGTAAGCCCAGCGCGGCTACCGTACAGTTTTTGTGCGATTAATTTGGTTGCTACATTTGCACACAGTGCAGACGACCGCCAATCTCGATTGTTGGCCTAGATCTACATGTAATGACGAGATGACGCCCCTTTGGAAATATGGAGATAAACCTGCTCTTTCATACGACACGTGATTTTTTGAGTATCACCTTTAGAATCACAAGCACTAAAGGTTTGAATCTCGATTCATGAATAATTTTGTTGACCAATTATGCATGATCGCGCAATGCACGTATACTGCATAGGGATATATGCATGTAATCTCAATGGGAAGGATTTTAGCACACTAAATCAAGTGCGCCAAAGACTAGGTCTCTACCTTCAAGTTATCAACACAGACCTCGATAGCATAACAAACTTGATTACCATGATTGGTAAGTTGCATGTGTATTCTATGACCTCTTTTTACGGTGTATAAAAGATATGACTGCTTTAATATTCGAGGAATGGTTTGTTTTATGGGCTCTCGCAGATGTTGCATCTTGATACCACCCGTCCGTCACACCTCGGGGTGATATCAGGATGCAACATCCCCTTGAGCCTATAAAACAACTATTCCTCTTAATTACAGCAGTCATTATAGCCTATCTATAATATAATTTATTATTGTCCTTATTATTATCATCATTATTATTATTATTAATATTAATATTATCGTCATCTTTATAATTATTATTATCATAATCACTCTTTATTTAAACATTGCTTTTTGAGAGTACATATAAATACAATGATACTTTTGGTCCATGTTTCAGTTAAAACAAACCCCAATCTAAAATCATGTTAACAAATAAAATGTAGACTTCAGAGTCAGATCAACCTCAATTGTTAAACCCAATTTTGAAAAAAGCTTCAAAGCCGAGCGTTCAGGTTTAAAATTCATTAGAATACAGGCTAATGTATCTATTAATGTTGAGACTTACTTGTTCTACCCTGTCCACTGCCATCATTAGTCTCATCTGTTCCATTTTTGGCAGTGACCGTCACATTGTAGAGCGTCCCTGGTGTTAAATCAATGATGGTATAATCTGCTGCTGTTCCGCTAAGATCAGGTGATGTGCCCCAGCCAGAGCCGTCAGGCAGAGACCATGTGACCGCATGAGCCATAGCACCATTTGGAGGAGTCCATGTCACTTTCAGAGAGTCAGTGTTTCCTTCATTTTCCACAGAGACAATAGCTTACCATGCAGAAAAGTGAAAAGAGCAAAATAATATTTATATTTGAGACAATTCTTATAATCGCCCGATCAAATCTCTTTTCTGCTGCCAAAAAACACGCTCTAGTGTAACTAGTTCTAGAATTTAGACCGATGTGCCATGCTCAATTTGTCACATAAATTACCTGCATCTACAATTTTTGTGTACATATATATGCACCTGATAATCAGGGCCTTGTTTTCATAACAAATTATAATAACAAATGCTAAATTTCTATGACAAATTTGCTCTCAGCCAATCAAATGCCACAAGTTCACTATAGCCTAACAGTTATTGTAACATGTTATTGATAAGAAGTTTTATGAAACAGGGCCATGGGCCACTATCATACAATAAATAAGTACATAAATTAAGTCAGTTTTTTATTTAGAATGTGAATTTTATATAAATAATAATAATTAGAACGATTTATATAGCGCAGCTACTACATAAATATTCTCTACTGCGCTGTGATGAAAACAGAACTCCTATTAAACAGTGCTACTTGACAGACACACAATACAAAAAATGTGCAAAAAAGCTCCTGAAAACAAGTGCATATCTTCAACAAAACTTTGAAGACAACAACAGATGAGGCTTTTTTTAATGTCTGGTGGGAGGTTATTCCGAAACTTTGGAGCGACACAACTGAAAGAGCAATATGCATGTACAAGAGTTACTTTTGTTATTGTGCGAGATATGTTATGTCTATATTATTTATGGATGTGGTTTTAAAGATAATACTTCAGACATATCATTTGGGGCATGACCAATCAATGTTTTGTAAGCTAAGTTTAGAGTAACACGTCCCTTAGATTTACCTGGTGCATCTATCCTGCAAGTCTGTTAAAGTCAAACAAAAGAACATAAAACAGTTTAGTGAAGAGTTAAAGTTGGTTGTTGGGCACTCATACATATTTCATTGGTCAAATCAAGTTCTAGGACTTTGGAATTTAACACTTTTGTGAATTCCAGCTTGGGTTTGATTTGTTTGCTTCTCTGTCTAAAAAAGACTCTGTAGTACTTGTAATGGAATTACTTTAAATTATCAGTAGGAATTCAAATAAGTCTTCAAAAAATTCAACTGTACATTACATACATTGCTCTGTGATCTAGCTAATATCCAAACATACAAGTACATTTGAAATGATTTAATCGAACACAATGATTTATTTCAAACTTTGCCATTATATTTATTTTCTTTTTCTGCTTTCATACAAAAGAACTTATTACAAGGGTTGGATTGCCCTTTAATTATGTGAAATCCATTAGCATGCTGGCTATCAAGATTATAAACAACTGCTGGAACAAATGTTTGAACAATAAATTAAACCCTTTACTAATCCTAATCATGTAGAAATAATCAAATCCAACAGATCTATTCAGATAGCATGCCTTGATTTGCCTCACTGTTTACCAAGCACTATAAGAACTTTTCGTGATTTAAAAAAAAAAATACAGAAATCAGAAAATCAAATGCAGTATCATGGACTACTATATCAAAACAAAATCTTGCAAAATGATTGCTCTCAGAGTGGTCATAGATTATGAAAAATGCATGCACAAAATAAAGAACTCTGAAGTCATGCCATTTGTGAAAGTTTCTTGCTTTTAAGAAAAATCTGCATTTCTTTACAAAAAATTCTGGTTAAATTTCCAGTATCCTAAATGCATGCTCATGGCATGCTCACTTACTTATAAATGGCAAAATCAATTTGGAAAAATGTAATGATCTTAATAGTAGTAGTAGACTTTATTGGATATCTTGTTTAGCACAAGGCTATTCTAACACAACATGCTTTCCATAAATTTACATAAATACATCGTTAGACTTCATGTATAATGTTTGCTGTTAGAATGCTTTGACATCAACATAGTGCCACTTTGAGGAAAACAATTGAACTTGATTTAATTAGGTAATATTTGCCGGTGTTGTTTTAATTGAATATATCTCGTCTATCCCTACTCTGATGTCTCCCATATTTTATTAGCTGAGACTTTACTCTACAAGTGTACTAAGATTCAATTTTTGATCAGAAGACAGGATCATGGTCAAAATTCTGATTTAAGATGAAGATTGCAAAATCTGCCATTATGGTTTCTCCTTGTACGTGTTATATGAACGGAGGCTGGGATCTTTTTTTTAATTCCGAATTTCTCATTGACTCTGTGTTATTAGGTGATCGGCCGATTAATGCTCCTACTTGATATCCTTATCATCGACCCTTCCAACTGTCAAAACACGATACTTGGCGGGGTCGTAGTCTAGCCATTTGGTCTCATGGTCAGATTCTGTGAAAGACTGTTGGTTCATTATCTCTCTCTTAAAATTCTCGTCTGCAAATTTTCCCCTCAAGATTCTTGATTGTCAACATCGCTTTTCTTGCTTGCTCTGTATGATCTAGATAATCGTATAATAAATAATCAGTGCTTTAACTTTATGGACGACGTGTTATTTTGTTATTTGTTCGCCTACTCCTGTCATCTATTTAATGGTAACAGGGTTGTACCAAATTAGTCAGCACAATCATTTCTACTGTTTCTACATCCTTGATTACTAAATGAGCTTGTACATAGGCATGTTATCTACCTTGAGTTTCTACATGTGTTATGCCTCAATCAAAGCGGCAGATCACCCAATTTGTCTCCGTGACAAATTCAATGTCTAGTTAAAAATGTATAATTTCATGTACTAATTGTAGCAATAAAGCAGGCAAGAAAAGAAATATGCATGCTTAAATGAGCAGTAATTCAATTCATTACTAGAACTTGTGTATTTAATCTATGTATGTGCATTGTAAACAGTTGTTCACATATTTTAAGATTGGCTTCTCGATATATGATTTGCAACATAAAGCCCCCAAAAAGCAAAGGATTCTTGGGCAAGTTGTCCCCAAAACTTTGTTTAAATTACCATAAAGCATAAGGAGATATATCTGTAAATGCCATTTGATCAAGAGAGATTAAACAGTGCGTCAATAAATGGACATCTTATTCCTTTAGGATGCCAGACAGAATTTAAATTTATGAGAGGGCCTGAACCCATCTACAATGAGCCATTTTGTACCCTAGGAAAGCTGAAACTTTGGCATGAAAACACTTGCATGGCATGAATTCAGGCTTTGCTTGAAAACTAACATCCCTGCATGTAGTGCTTACATTTTCTCCAATAACGACTGTATCTCCTGGCTGACACGAGCTGCTATCGCCTGTACATTTGTTATCATAAACACACCAGACACATGTAAAAAGGCTTGTAACACAAGATGAACATCTGCAAAAAATTGATAATCATAATTGTATTAAAACTACAGTAATATACCAAAACTATACGACTATTTACAATGATGTAAGTCAAACCCTTTCTAAAATACTGCCAGCAGTTCCAATTTGAACATTACACAAGTACAATGAAATGAATACAATGTAGGCCTACTTTTGTTCACTTATTAGTTATCGGTAGATTTAAAAATATGCCTAATAACAAATCTCTAATTCTTTGAAATTTCCCTATCTTAAGTTACACCATAACAAAGACTACACAAATATATACAGAGCAAGCACAGTGAAAACAAAAATACATATATATGAATGAAAATCAATGTTTATTCCTAAGCGTATGGTAGTCTTTATAATTCATGATCCAATTCCAATAAAGGCTATCAAAATATCACTGTACCTATTGTAATAAAATAACATAAGGCAGTCTAATTGATATTCATATAACTGAGGGTAATTGAGTTGTCATGAATAAACCAAGTGGAGCCTCAATAAAAAATGTGGTGCTTGCATGTAAATGCAGACTTTTTAACCTTTTAAATAAATTTCTAGATATTTCTATACATAATCAATTCAAGCAAAAGCACAAGCCTTCTTTGATCCTTACAATGAGATCTAGATAAGGGAATAGAAAAGTGTTTATAAAAGTAAGATTAAACTTCTGAGCCAAAACCAAGTACTATGTTTTATGTAGAGGTGTCGTGGTCGAGTGGATATGTCACCGGATTGTGGATCACAAGGTCCAGGTTCAATCAAAGTCCCGCCGCGACACTAATGTCCTTTGGAAAGACATTGATCTACATCTGCCACACTCTACCCAGGTGAGGTAAATGGATACCTGGTAGGATTTTTCCTTGAAAAGCACTGAGCGCCGATATCGGTAGCCGGAGCTAAAACTAGGGTAATAATTTCCGAAGCTCTTTGGAAGCGCATAGAGACTAAGTGTAATGTGCTTTCCAAAAACGGACTATTATTATTATTTGTATTACTAAAGCAATTAACAAGAATAACTTTCCATTTGTTATTGTGTACCATGTGCGTTATCATTACCAACAACCCCATTACCATCATCAAGTTCAAGAACTTACGATTTAATGTGACTGCAGTCATAAATGAAGAAATCTGTGGTCACAAAGTCGACATCCGTTTCAGTTGAGACAATAGACAGAGGCAAGTTCAAGAAGTACACTAGCAAGCAAATGAAAAGAAATGTTAAACATACTAATCATTTTAATGTAGACAAAATCATGTATAAGTATAGGATGATGATCCACTTTCTGATTTTTGTCCAATGGCAATTATATTTTGAGGGTCAGGGCATGGTGACTGCCGACGAAGAAAATCAAGCAGATTATTAAAGGGCCACTAAATACTGAATGAAATACATTGTAATACATCAGTCAAACATGTACATTATTTCATAAACATCTGAACACCTTTATACAATGGGAAGGTCTCAAATCAAGGAGACATTTCACCTTGGGTTCTACATTCAACTCAATCTACTTCGTAGATTCCTGCATGGGAGTGTACGTCTCTTAATTGTGTAATTTGAATGAGTTGCCTTTCAAAATATCCACAACAAAATATTAATAAATACATTAGATAACAAAATATTTACCATATATTTCAATGAATTTTCACAGGTATTGGTACTTTTATTGCATATCAGTAGTTTGCACATGTTATATATCGAGATGGCAATAAAAAACCCCACATAACTGTCATTAAATTTGCAAAGACAATGCACATGATGATGTACATGTGCAATGCGCACTGATTGACATTTCATCTTTATATGTACTTACATCCATCTGGAATTGTAGGTATGCTGTCTGCAGGAGGGGATGTACAGGTGACACTATTTCCGGTAGTTGTAGCAGAGACCTCATACGAGTCATTAAAGGCACACATGTATTGAAAACTGCTCCTAAGATCCGGGAGTTGTTGTACTGTCATGGTAATCTATATTAAACAAGAATGGGAAAGAGATTTCTTAACAGGACTCACATGCGCAGGAAATCTCACATGTAATCGTACATGTTATTGCATTTACTTTTAATACTTTTTTTAATTCCCTGGCTATTGAATTTGAAACCTTATCATGAAAAGGGTAATAATATAAATTTTAATATTTTGTATAACTGATCATCATGATGCCAGCAGTCTCTGTATGGTGAGTCCCAAATGAGCTAGTCAAGTACCACTGATAATTATATGTAGTGCAAAATATGTTTTAATCACCTGTAAAGTGATCAGACCAGCATTGATATGTGGAAGGGTTAAGAAAATCTGAGAAAGTACAATCTTAAATGTATTTACTTCTTGTTGTGTCTGATGATAAGGGAGACTGTTTGGCTGGACATCTGAGATGGATACACACAGTAAGGCATCGTACGATAACCATCGAGTTGATTCATCAGGGAAGGGGCATGCCTCATATCTTGTGCACCTTGGGAAGTAATCAAGATAAGGTTCAAATAGCTTGCATGTTACAACATACTTTCTTACAAATCTACCTGCATAAATAAACCAACAAGAGAGCTTAATCTATAATCTATTCTTTGCAATATTCGTAATCTATTACTTTATATGGACATATCATGAAATCATTTATTTGATATATACGTTCTTTGGCATTACTTTCACTTATTTTCATGCAGTTTAAACATATAAGGTATGCTCCAACGTTCCAAACGTTATTTTCAGTGTCGGAGTATCATGTGTCTCTCATAAAAAAGTATAAAATGTTATGTACAGCTCGCGTAGATCACAGATTGAAGCAGCTAGCTGTACCTGGTATCTAAACTATTTGCAGTAAAGTCCTTGAATACCTTGAATACCAAAGCTTCTGGAAGAAAGCCGTCTCCAGCTGCCAAGCTTCCAAGCAGGTCTAACTTCAAAGGGGGGGGTGTCCCAGCTTCCGGGTCTTGCACCTTAGTTGCTTTACATATATATCTTGCTTGCTGGGTCATATCAGGAATGTCATAATTGGAGTGTCTACTGTGAGAAGGGTCCACAATAAGGGTCTCCATCATTTCCTCCATTCTCTCCAAAAAAACTCACCTTGCTTCTAGAGTACACCCTCCATAAGAGTTTCCATCATTTCCTCTATTCTCTCCAATGCACTTACCTTGTTTCTAGAGTACACTATCCACAATACTGGTCTCCATCATTTCCTCATCCATGCCTACCAAAGCACTTACCTTGCTTCTAGAGTACACCATCCACAGTAAGGGTCTCTATCGTTTAGTCCATCGCCTCCAATGCACTCACCGCAGGTCTGGTATTGGCCACAGTTTGTCAAATCCAATGTCAGGGCCTACATTTTGTTTGCAAAAAACAAAGATCGAGCAGCATTATTTATTTATGTACATTATGCTGATAGATGTACGTGTATCTATGGATTTATTTTTCACCAATTCACTCGATCACCACAGCTCTTGTATTGTTTGCAAACTAAAATGCAAGGACCTAATTTGTAATAATAAAAAAAGGGAATTATTATTTTTAGATTTATACATGTAGCATTGCAGGGCGTTTCATTTCCTGATCTTCATGCCATTTGTCACAATTAAATGAAAAATAAACAAATATGCGGAAATTATGAGAAATCAATATCGAGCCCTTCTGTGAGGAGATTCTCATACTTCAGTATGAATCTGTTTTTTGCGCTCTCCAGGACCAACATGCTCTTCTATTATCACACACAGTACGTTGTCGACTAGACTCGCCGTGGCAAAATGATTAGCTTTGTAAGGCGAAACGGCAACTTTGAAGACTCGAACGGATTACATCTTCATTATCTAATTATGGCCAAGAAAAAAAACATCAGATATTCAAGGCACCGAGTACAAGAATGCAGTTTAAAGCGCTAAAACAGCGTATCCACATAACCAATGCAATGGGCTGATTGCAGTGCTAGGGAGTTGTTCCAGTTTTTCATGAATAAACTTGAGAGGATATCCTAATCCCTAAGAATGCATCCACATGTTATGTTCACATTTGATTTTCCAGAAGAAAAAAACTTCATTCCAAACCTATAAATATGTCACAAAAAAGCAAGTTCCAGAGATAATAAAGACTTCTTTTACAAACTAGATGGAACTTCGACTGCGCGCAGTCGAAAATGATGCCTCCGTCATAGAGCAATTTTAGAAACCAAAACAGAAGAAATTTTAAAAATTCCAGTTCAATTGTAATCCATTAACAGGTTCTCAGAATATCGTGATTACAAGCAATTTCTCATATACATATATGACCCTTTGATCATTGACCTCATGACCCTAAAATCTACTCAGTTCATTGGCTCTGCAAGATGTCCTGAGTTAAATAGTAATCCATCTGTCAGTTCTAATGAGAATGCTTTCACATGCTATTTTTGCATACATAATGAGCCAATGACCTTTGACCTTTGACCTTATGAACCAAGAATCTACTCAGTTTATTGGCTCTGCAAGATACATAAATGAAGTTTGGCAGGAATCCATCAATCTGTTCTAATGATTGTACGATCACAAGCTATTTTTTGCATACATAATGTGCCCTGTGACCTTTGACCTTTGACCTCGTGACCCCAAAATCTAATCAGTTCATCGGCTCTGCAAGTAACATACATGACCTAAGTTTGGCAGGAATCCATCATTATCCACCATTATCTTGAGATAACGCGATCATGAGCTGTTTTTGCATACATAATGAGCCCTGTGACCTTTGGCCTTTGACCTCGTGACCCCAAAATCCAATCAGTTCATTGGCTCTGCAAGATAAATACATGACCAAAGTTTGGCAGGAATTCATCAATCGGTTCTTCAGATAACGCGATCACGAGCTGTTTTTGCATACATAATGAGCCCTGTGACCTTTGACCTTGTGACCCCAAAATCTAATCAGTCCATCGGCTCTGCAAGATACATACATGACCAAAGTTTGGCAGGAATCCATCAATCGGTTCTTCAGATAACGCGATCATGAGAACGGGACGTACGTACGTACAGACGTACGTACAGACGTACGTACGGACGGACAACCCGAAAACATAATGCCTCCGGCTACTTCGTAACGGAGGAATAAAAACTGTAGCCTGGATAACATTCCAACTTAAATTGTTTACTGCAGGCATGTCGGGATGAGTTTGTTCCAATAACAACCTACATCATTAATGAATCTTTTTGAACAGATTGTTTCCAGAATGGCCTTAAACAGTCTTTTATTTGTCTTCTCATTAAATATCAAAGGTTGGACTGCAGTGAAGATTTTTCAAAAACTATTGCCCAATTGCAATCTTTAAGTTTTTGGTGAAGGCTGTAGAGTATAGTGGCCCAGAAGGGATATCATGAACCATGGAATAGCGAATCTTTGTTATGAAATTCATGACATTTTGTTTCAATTATCGTAGTGAATTTTACAACAAAGCTCACGATTCGCGACGTCCCTTCTGGGCCACTGTACTTTTGGACTATTCATCTGCATTCTACACAATAAGACATTATTTTGCAAGGGATGTCATATTGGTTTGAGATCTATGACCGTGCACTGGACTGGTTTCGCACCAAAACATCTCGGACTCAAACTGTCTCGATCAACAGTGTGCTGTCATCAGCTCACATACCAGCACCAGGTGTTCTGCAAGGGTCGGTTATTTATAGACCCTTGGTTTATGTACAATGTACATTTTACCTTTTAAGAGTACCATCGATTCGTATGGATTTCCTAAAAACGTTTTATGCAGATGTAGATACTGATCAATATCATCTGCATAAAACATTTTTTTCTATTCATGTATATATGCTCACTATTTTTTTATTTCAGGTAATATGATGAACTCCGAAACAATCTGGTGCATGTAGGCTATCGTTGTAACTTACCTGTGAACCTTGCTCTGAACTTGTCGCCAGTGTAAGCTGTTCTGTAGATTCATGGAGGAACATCTCCTTTAAGACAGATCCAGTTCCAAGCGAGACAGTCTCATAGACGTTGCCGAAGACTTTATTAACGATGTTTGTCTGGAGGAAAATTCATGAAAATTCAATTTAATGTTAAATTCAACTTCTTTTTCCTGATGATGATATTTTCTCATTTATTTCATTCTACATGTAGAAGCTTTCTTAAAGTGCTGCTTAAAATGAAAAATTCAGATTTTCTACAACAGATGCATTCTAATTTGGGTTATCTCATGTACATTTTCCTACACAATTACGATGAACCTATGACAGACATTGAATTTGACCCCGTTCTCACTCACTTTGTAAGTTCTCACTCACTTTGAAAGTGGTCTTAGTTAGACCGCTCCAGAGGAACGGGTCTTGAGAAACGGTTTGCGAGGGTTCACACTCCGAGCAGTTTTTTATGGCTCAAACCGCTCCACGAGTCAAAGTGGTCTTGTTGCTATGGCAGCTCAGGTCAGCAGGTCAATTTTTTCGCGCCCGGAATACAAACCGTATGTACCGTGCTACATGTTTCGCACGGAACGTCATTAGCTCACTTCCGGTCAAAGTACGCTTCCGTTCACATTGCACGTTAGAGCGGTCCAAACCGCTCTTAATAAGACCCGTTCTTCAAGACCACCTCCCGAGGTGGTCTTCTGGAGCGGTCCAGAAGTCCACTTCCTGGACCACTTTGACCGTTCTCACTCACCTAAGAACTGCTCCTGAGGAACGGGTCTTAGTTAGACCGCTCCAACGAAGTAAATGAGAACGGGGTCTTTGATATTCGGAAGCAACATGGAAAATACCTACATCTACGTAACCATTATATATTGGTAAATAGGTTTTGATGTAAATTAAAGGTATAGACCAGATTTTGTAAACGCCCCCCTCTCAAAAAATGAAATGGAAGCTCTTATTACGAATCATGTGATAGAATATGTTCTGACTTAAGTTATGGTCACATCACCTAAAAGTAGCCTGCTCGGCGGCCAGGCGGCAAGTTTTGAGCCAATTTCGCCCAGGCACTAAGCGGCGGCTGCCCGGGCACCGCTTGTTTTTAGGGTATCGCTCGGTCGCTGCTGAAGTTAAAATTCGGGCGATGCCTGCTCACTTTCACTCGCCGCCCAAAGTATGCTCGGTGCCCAGGCAGTCGCAGCCAGGGCGGTCGCCGTCCAGGCACCGGCCTAATCAAGCCTTCACCGTTCAGCGATTTAGGTCCAAAGTTTGCCTACTTATTTTAAAGTGTAAGGTATCAATGCAACATATTCATAAAATTGACATATATCAAAGGCCAACAAACTTTGTGGAGGTATCCTTGTGTATCTCCTATATATGCCACAGTATGTTGTCTCTCTATGGTTGTCACAATGGAGGTTGGTATCACATCAGGAATGATGACGATGGGTGAGGCAGAGAGGGGAACCACTCCACTGGCATACCGGTGGAAAATATTCCCCATACCATCCTCCTCAAAATAAGCTGTACACTGTACTGAATCTGGTGGAGTGAAGAAATCAAACTGCCAAGAAAGAAAAGAAGAAAAGTAATAAGTTTTACGAAAGAGACACAACTTTTGAAAGTCTCCTTATGTACCTCCCATGAATGCCACAGTATGTGGTGGTCTCTCTATGGTTGTCACAATGGAGGTGCATGTCACATCAGGAACGGTGAAGAAGGGCAGAGAGAGGAACCGTCCCACTGGCATACTGGTGCAACTGCTGCAACTGGAAATATGCCACAGGATTATCACCACAGAACTTAAATGGTAACTGTGAAACCATTTTTAAAAATGTTTAGGACACGTACCCCAGAATTACTCATATTTCAGACCTAAAAAATCACAGATTCACATCTAAGATTAATAATCAGGTTTAGTCACAAGATCATCACCACAGAACTTTGACTTAATTGACTTCCATTCAAAAAGATGTTTTAAGACACCTAAGAATTTCTCATTTTTCACACCTTAAAATCACGAATGCGCAGCTTAGATTGATAATCATTTTGAGCCACGTGATCATCACCAAGAAACTTATTGTAACTTTGAAACCATTTAAAAGGGTGTTTTAAAATACCTAAGAATTATTAGTTTTTCACACCTAAAAATCATGGATTCACAGCTTGGATTATTAATCAGTTTGAGTCATGAGATCATCACCACAGAGCCTATGGTAACTTTGACTACCATTTAAAAAGGTGTTTTACGACACCGAAGAATTACATATTTTTTCACACCTAAAAATCATGGATGCCAAGCTTCGATTAGTAATCAGTTTGAGCCACGTGATCATCAACAAGAAAGTTATGGTAACTTTGAAACCATTTAAAATAGGTGTGTAAGACACCTCAGAATTACTAATTTTATACAACCAGAAATTCACGGACAGAACAATAAGACGATTAGCCGGTGTAAGTAACGTGATTATTACCATCAACCTTGGATAACCTGTGTAACCAATCAATAAAGGTGCTTTAAAGACCAAAGAATTACTTATTTATCACAACCATCAGTTAATGGATACAAAACTTGTTGCTTGGTCAAGTGGTTATTTAGTCATAAACACTTGATTTACTCTTGGTAAAGGTATTACAAAGTTTTGGTATGGGGTCATGAATTTGGTTTAAATTACATATTTTTTCACACCTAAAAATCACGGATGCCAAGCTTTGATTAGTAATCAGTTTGAGCCACGTGATCATCACCAAGAAAGTTATGGTAACTTTGAAACCATTTAAAATAGGTGTGTAAGACACCTCAGAATTACTTATTTTATACAACCAGAAATTCACGGACAGAACAATAAGAAGATTAGCCAGTGTAAGTAACGTGATTATTACCTTCAGCCTTGGATAACCTGTGAAACCAATCAATAAAGGTGCTTTAAAGACCAAAGAATTACTTATTTATCACAACCATCAGTTAATGGATACAAAACTTGTTGCTTGGTCAAGTGGTTATTTAGTCATAAACACTTGATTTACTCTTGTTAAGGGTATTACAAAGTTTTGGTATGGGGTCATGAATTTGGTTCAAATTAACATATTGGAAGCATATGCGATCATACAATATTCAGTGATCGTTGTCGCAGTTGAAATTGAGTCTTAAGTTATGAAATTGTAGATAATAAACCTTTTATGTTACATAGCTCCCTCTCAAGGTAAAGATATTAATTAAGTTATAAAACAATGTTTCTTGACTGAAATCGACCAATTAGCTATTCCCGTTTGGAAATTATATATACCAACCACATATTCTGAAATTTTCATGGTCACAGCTATAATTGTACGGCCGTAGGTGCTATTTGAAATTCATCAAAATTTACCGGGAGCACCGGTAGATTTTTTATTATTATACCTAGGTACATAGGTGAAGGTACATGTAGGTATCCCTTAACAAAAATGGTGGTGGGTTAGGCAGAGAGTGGAAGCATTCCACTAGCATACTGTTAGAAATTCCTATAAAGCCCCCATTTCATCATAAGCTGTAAACTGGACTGAATTTGATGAAGTAAAGCAAGCTGCCAGAAAAGAATGAAAATGGAGAAGAATTATTACATTCCACAGCACATAAACTATTATAAATAATTTCTAAGGACAGTTACAGTATGAAGCCTTCTCTATGGAGGAAGAAACCGTGACAGAAGAGGTGATGACGGATGAGGCATAGAGAGAAACTATTCCACTAGCATTTAATTACCGGTACACCAATACAAAAAGTGTTGCTCCATGAAATTTGTTATATAATGCCGTACTTACATGTAGCATCCCCTCGCCAGGTACAAATGGCCTATATTTAATAATTTTTGCATATTTTATGAGCTGTTGACCTTTGACCTTTGACGTACACACTCAACAACATTACTTAGGTTATTGAATGAAAACCACATTTCCGCATATATAATTAGCTTATTTCGCATATATGAGCTATGACCTTTGACCTTTGACCTTTGACCTACATACTCCAAATCAAACTTAGGCTGTATTTTAATACCATGTTCCTTTATATCAAATGTCATTACAATCCATCAAACATTACTAAAGTTTTTTAGTTTTTATAAATTTCGAAAGTCGTTGAACGGAAACCAGATGTTTTTACGGACGGCAGAGTTACTATATCCCCTCCAACTTAATTCATGTAAAAATGTCTGTTTCGATGTCATTGGCAAAAGTTTAAAAACTTTGCAATTGTATCATGCACAAAATTTCCTACAACTATACTTTCCGGTCAATATTCTATTCTTAGAAAACAAGAAAAGCAATATCCTGTTTCATCTTGTATCTACACGAATACAGGAACACCTGGACATTTGTCAGCTTTGGATGCAAGATATGTTTTGTGTTCGTAATTTTACACTGATGTTGATTTTTTAATGCAGGGCCCCTAAGAAAGAATGGGGCTATCCTGTTGAGATTCACTCAAATCAAATCAAATCAACTACATGCTCGGGAGAACTAAAGAAAGCTATGAAAATCAATAAATCATGATTATACAAATGTAGATGTACATGTACCTTGTACTTTAATTGACTTACTGAGTTACAAGTGCTGTCTTCAAGGTAGTTGTTTGTTGTTCCTTTGCCTTGGTCTCCCTGGATACATCCCACGACAGCATCTTCAAAGCTCTGCTGGACATCATTCATCTTATAGATACAAAGACCAGATGAACTCCCACTTGTGAATACAGCATACAGAAGGTCATCAGTACTCTCAATACTGAATGAGTCAGCTAGCTGGGATCCTGCTGTTCCGATATGAGCAGACTGGATCACATTGTGAGAGCTACACTGTAGTTCTATCTCTGTGTAGGATTCAAAATTAAGATCTAATGAATTACGACACAATCGCCCCAAGTATGCACCATCTCCCCTCGAGATAAAATAGTAGAGATATTCCATGTGAGTGATCAAATGTCTGAAAATGTTCTGTGAGGTGTTGGGTTCAGGTGGTGTTACCGATTGTACGACACTCAGGGCTTCAAGATTGTGCTTTTTGACGGATCGAATGCTCACTGTTGCATCACTGATCCCTGTAAACAAGTACAATCCACCATCAAAAATACCCTGACCATTCCTTACAAAGTCAGCACCTAAAACAACAGCTCCAACAGTGGGTGCATCTGATGTTTTCACAACAATCTGAGTGTCGGTCGAATCATATCTCACTACATCATGTGATATATTAGTCAGGCTTCTTGTCTCGCAGTAACCATCACAGCCACCACATGTGATGAGCTTGTCCTCAGGTGATGGAGCTACAAGAAGAAGTTTATTGTTGTTTGTATTTCCATTTGGTGAAGGGCATTGTCCAGTATCCACAGTGTGTTTGAGAGTCAGGTCTGAGTTGAGTTGATAGAGACTCTGCCTTGCTCCAATATAGACCTCTCCATTGATGTTGTTGATGGTGATGTGGTTGAATGGCAGGGTGGGGTCAGGGCTGGTAAAGGATGATACCAGGTAGGATGAGAGAGGAGCTGAGTAGATCGACGGAATGATAAGAAGCAGGCAGAGTAGCATGATGCCCAGCTTCAAAACATCTCCTGGTGGCATGATTGCCTCTTGTATTTGATCCTTGGTAGTTCGAGATGATGAACCTATGGCAAATGTAATGGCAAATTAACCATATGATGAGTTCCAAGTCATAATTCCAATGACTTAGATTGCGTTTTTTAAAATTTAATTCAGTCTATATTATAGTGTATATCAAAGAATTAATTATGATATTTGTAATTTTTAAGATTTTTGATGATTAGCTGTGTATGGATGGAGATTGATATGAATATATTGGCCAATGTGAACATAATCGCAAAGGCCTTTGGAATTCACCTTAGGGCAATTTCAAAAGCCCTGTCCATCATCTTTGAACAGAGATGCCGACCTTTATTAACAACAAAAAAGTATTCTATGAAGGGAAAAAAACAGTATTTTTGGACAAAAAACAGTTTTTTTGAAAAAAATTGTGTATACGTGTACGTACCCAGATCGGAGCATGACGTGCATACAGTACATGTGGGTTGTTCGCAAAAAAAAATGGAACAGTTGGCACCTCTGTTTGAAGCATGAAAACATTAGAATGAGGTATTACATATCCAAACATGGGGTATTGGAGTTTCCCTTGAGTTGATTTTTCAAACGTAGTTAATATCATGTTTGTGTATGTATATTTATAAAGTATGGCAAGATACTCTCGTGAAACCCAGAGAATATTAGCTTTAATCAACAATAAAACATAAAATCAAGAATAGATAAATGAATAAAACCACATTAACATTTTCCCTACCTTATAAGTCTTCTAGGCGGTTCGTTGTAAATGTAATATACTCTACAGTGTATAGGAATATATCGAAAGAGGAAGTAATCGCATTAAAATATATCAAAACAAATTTCGCCAGAAGTAATTTGAATAGAATTCCAAGCTTTGATGCACCCTTAGAAAACACCATGGCACAGGGTGAAAGTTCAATTTTGTAATAAAAGCAGAGGAGGGATCAAACTTGAACAACTTGAACCATGATAAAGAACTAAAAAAGGAAAATACAGTTTTTTTAACAATCACTCACATAATCACGTTTTGAGTACTTTCTTAGAGGCAAGCTGACTAATCTACAGGTGTAGGGTAGTCCACTGGCTTAACCATTTCTATGGTGGTATCAGACCTGCCAACCTCTGGAGTTCAAAAACTGTATTCTTTAATCCCAAAAGTTGTATTTTACTGACAAAAGTTGTATTCTTAAAAATAAACACGGACTGTTATGCGGATCAATGTCTCTTACAGTTCCTACATACAGGAAGAATTTTTGTATGGGTCATTGGTTGAATATCCACTGTTGTGTTCGATGAACCAACGAACATCTCCAAATTATCGATGTGCGATGCTTGTAGGATACTTTACAGGACAGAATGGGCATTTTGCCATTGAAAATGGCACACACGCACAAAATTGAAATTGAAATTTTTTTTAAAAAATTGTGATTTCCTACATGACATGTGTTCCACAATAGTTTACTGGGGGTACCTATATGTATATTAGCAAACTTACTCATATGAAGTGTAGTAGCCATCTCCAGTTAGATATGATCCAGTCAATATCTGTTCTTTGTTCCTCTCCTGTGTTTGTGAACCAGCATGACTTCATCATCCACCGTAGAGAAGCATCATCCAACATGGGAGAAACAATTTTACTTCAAAAACTAATAATAATGGATACATATCCACCATAATATATCCTGTTAACAGTCTTTCATGTATCTTATTTTGCATTCTTCTTCTTCATTTTCATTTTCATCGCTCAAGAAGTGAAAGGCGCCCCTTACAAAAAAAATGCGGGTCCTGTTTATACACTACATGAATGTGCATTAGATATGGCTCTTCTTCTACACAGGACCTCCCTTAAATAAGGACAAATTCCCTTTGTAAACACAAAAGGGAAAGACAACAATATTTGTACGCTAAGTGCAGAACTAGAAAAAAATGTACCCTCCACTATATACGCTTGCAATGTTTACTTTAATAGTTCCATTTCCTTTTTAGTTAATTAATAGCCGGTTGTTAAATATGTGCGTGGTAAATATCCTGAAAATTTTACCTGCATGGGACTTTCTGCTTCATCTTGTAAATATAAGAGGGTTAACCAAGTGCGTCCATATCTACTAAAGATTTTAACAAAAGTTAATCAGCTTGGATGATTAAAGCACGGGCAGATCCAGCCGGCGGCGAGGGGGGACCAAATTCGTGAAAAAATATTAAGCGCCACATTATATCATGCTTCAGTGCTTACGGTACGCAGAAAGAGGGGGTCTGAGGGGGTGTGCTACCCCCCCCCCCCTCTATAAGCTGAAGAAAAATCGAATTTTTCAAATTTATGAAAAGCCTTGGATTTCTAGGTTCTCCTGGGGAAAAGACTGTTTACACAAGAAGCGGGACTATGCATGAATATAGTATACCGGTATAACATAAAGTCTATAGGACACTGGTATTTATGACACAGTTATCTCTAGGTGTAAGTGTTTAATATTGATACATGTATACCTTAACACAGTAATGATTCCCTCAACAAGATCAAGAGTCCATAGAGTATAAGGTTTATCCTTTTTATTTCATTTCTAAACAAGGTCTTCAATCACAACAATGTTGACAACCAAATAATTGACAAGGTACAGTTTCCTAGTAACTCAGGTATCACTGGATTGTAAAAATCAGTCAGTTCAAGACTACCGGTAGTACAGCAGTAGGGATGGGCCAACAGCAATAACTAGCCTTGGGTTTCAGTTTAATTCAACAGCTTTAAACACCTAACATTAGGCCCCGCTCAATGTTTTTTCAAAGTGGGGGGCCTAAAGTATTTAAGATTAGGTGGCTTATGCCGAAAGGGTTGGTAGCATCGTGTCGACTTGAACGTGACCATTCGTCCAAAGCCCCCCCCCCCCCCCCCCCCCCCGGTTGTGCCGAAAGGGTGCGTTGGGAGTGTTGCATTGACCGGAACGCGACCCTTCGTCCAAAGCCCCTCCCCTTGTTTTGCCGAAAGGGTGCGTTGACTAGTCTTCCACATCAGTTGTTATAATAGAATTTAAGGAATAGAAACAGATTAAAAATCAAATAAAACTAGCTTTTACATAGTCTTGCAGATCAGGCGTTTATAAAAATTAAATCAATAAATAACAGAAACACATTCAAATAACTTACTTTGATATTTAAAAATGTCAAATAAAGGTGTTTACTTAGTCTTTCATACAGGTCGTTTATTTATCAAAATTGATCAAAAATAATATCCATTTCTTTCTATGTATGGAATTCAGAAAAGCCCCACTGTTATGCATGACTAGTTTACATCAAAAAATGAATTCTATACATAGAAAGAATTGGATATTATGTTTATTTGACATCTTTAAATAATTCATTTTAATTCATTTTCATTTTTATAAACGCCTGATCTGCAAGACTACGTAAAAACTAGTTTTATCTAATTTTTAATCTGTTTCTATTTTGATTATTTTAATTTAAACAACTAAAATTTCTAGCCCTTAAATTCTATTAAAACGACTGATGTGGAAGACTAGTCAACGCACCCTTTTAGCAAAACGGGGGGGGGGGGGGGTGCGACGCGACGGGACACTACGCACCCTTTCGGCATAAGCCAGATTAGGTAGAGCGTAGCGAGCGAAGCAAGTGGATTGTCAATTGGCGTGGGGAGGGCGGTATCCCTGGAAGGGATTTTAGCAGACCAGGGGCGGCAGATACGCCACTGCTTGATGCAGATGATTCGAGCACCGAAATTCCCTGGGTACGTGGCTCTCACAGAATCTCCCAGCAAAGCATAGAGAGTCAATGCTAATGTGTATTGACCTCTATAGCACTGCACTATATGCTAATAGGCAGCAATTGCACACATGAATAGTCAATACACAAATAACACACAAATGCACACAATGAAACTGATGTAGCTGTAAGTTTGACAGCCAGTAGTAGTAGACTCTAGTAGTAGACTTTAACATCGGTGAGTTGATGTGTTTTACTGCTATTTATGTGGCATCAATTGTCACTCAAGTATCGATTTTGAGTGAAATTAGTTGAGTTTTGTACAGTGGTGTTACATACAGCCAGGATAGTAATGCAGCTATGCGTGGAATTACCCCGGAGCCATAACTGGAGTAGGCTACCACTACCAGGGGCAGGGTGACGGCAACCGCAGTCAAAGTACTTCCTGACGCGTGACGATGAAAATCAAAGAGTAATTTCAAGAGAAACATGTTCCTAGCCTTTTCCAAAAAATCTGTTGAGAACTAGATCACGAAGACTAATACAACTTTTTCAAAATAAATCAGTAAATTCACATTAGTCTATCTACTCATATATTTCAATCATGTATGCTCACCCAATTCTCCAAGACCAAAACCTTCAGTTGTTCCGCCGAGATAACATCTGGCTCCTCTGCCTCGTTGGGGAATGTTGACAAATGTGATTCCAGACGTTTATTTCTGTCTACCATTCTCCAAGAAGAATATCTTGTCATCTAATCATGCGAGTATATAGTAGCGCCGTGCATAAATCGGCAAAATTCTCTCTCTCTCTCTCTCCCTCTCTCTCTCTCTCTCTCTCTCTCTCCCTTCTCTCTCTCTCTCTCTCTCTCTCTCTCTCTCTCCCTCTCTCTCTCTCTCTCTCTCTCTCTCTCTCTCTCTCTCTCTCTCTCTCTCTCTCTCTCTTTCTCTATTTGTTATAGTATTACATTTCCTTCCTTTTTTGTTTCTCGCTCCCTCCATGTACTGCACACATGCTCTCTCCAGGGAGATTGCAGTCATCTCCCTGCTCCCTCTATCTTTCCATGTTCCAAACAGGGCGGTGTAATTCCATAGAGGTAAAAACCAAAGACAGATGTCGTTTTTCTACAGCCAATTAGTTGTTGTTGTTATTTTTTGGTAGTATCGGCGTTTCTTGCTTTTCAAGAATATTTGCGCCTTTCACTTTTTTCTTTCTTTTTCGTTCACTATTTGTAAATTCGTACTATTCATAAATCTCTAGTTATAAAGGCCTATACTTTTTTTTATTTTTTTCTCTCCTTTTCCCATTTCTTTTTTTTTAACCTTCTTCTTGTATACTGAATGCTATAATCTGGTCAGTAGGCCTATTTAAATTTTAAAAAACGTACCG